TGAGCAAAACAACAATTTTAACACCTACATTTGCTTCCCACTCCATTGCTGCCAGCATTTTACTAAAGAGAGTAATTAGGATTTGTCTAGTTTTGTCATTTTTACTTTTTATTCCTAAAACACATCAAATGATCTTAAAGATAAGGACAATACATCATGGGCAGCTTTTTATAGTTGCCATTTCTGCACATAAAACTACAAATATTTATTAAGTTGTTGTTTACTCTTTTTCTCCAGCAAACAAGTTTCAGTACATACGACACTGAGGATAATCCCCACCCTTTTTCCATCCTTCCCTCAACAAGATGCAGCAGGGGGATCTGACTGATCTGAACATTTATCAGTCTTACGTCTTTCATTTAACAAGCATCAAACAACGTATCAAGACTTCAAGTGATATGAGATTTAGGCAAGAAATGACGATGGTTCAACTTTTTCGTTTGTTATGACAATGATAAAAGCTGAGGGTTAGAAATCGAGCTAAAATACATCAACCAAAACGGGATCATATGTGGGACCTACGCTTTTTACCCTCATTAATTGTGGTTTGATGGCAAAACCTTAAGCAGCAGCTAAAGCTGAATCTTTTCGCTGTGCCTCCGGAATGAGCTTGATTACATGAGTGGACTGAATTGCTTCTTACCTGTCTGCTGTCAGTCTGATTTGACCCAGTCAGATGGAGGTAAATTAGCAGCAGTTGTTGACTAGTTTCAAGAGTTTATAACAGCCTGCTCTTTACATAGGTTGATTAACTGTAAGATGTTCACACTCCACATGATTCTCTTTTTCAAAAGCGAAGTTAGTTCAAGTGAAAACAAAGGAAAGTTGTACTCTAGATAGACAATTAATTTGATGATCATTTTTATACACCAACTTGTAAATTACATTTCCAGTAACCATGATTTTTTTTAACCAAATTTCAGAATGAAACAGTGACAGTTATCAATGAAAACACAGAGTGTCTGTGTCACCATCTCATAGCAAAGAGGTTCCTATTTCATATTACAGTTACTGTTGTAGTTCACTCTGAGTGTTCATGGATGGATTTTCTGAACATGCTCTTTTTAATTTTCACAAGCCAGAAACATGTAAAATTATTTAATTATTCTCAAATCATTTTTTGAGATGAGCATCCATAAGTGCCAACCTGTAAAAGGCTCAAGGATTTCAAAATCCTGACAAGAAAAAGATGAGTATCCAAGTCAAATATTCTTAATTTTGCACACTAAAATGTAACATTTAATATTACTTTAATATAATGCCCGTCCTATCAATGCAAATCTTTGTGCAAGAACCTTAAGGACAGATAGATAAAAGTGTGTTTGTGCACACCACTAATAGACAGGAGTTTGGATTTTCGCAGCCAATGATGTCTAACAGTTAATTATATACGTGATGTTCCCACGATTACATTTTCAGCTGATACAAACTGTTAAATATTGCCTTCCAAATGATAAACTGAAAGGTCAACAAATGTACTCCTTCTACATGAGCAAGTATAATGTGTTTTGAGCATCTGTGATAGAGCATCTGTTGCTTACCAAGAAGACAATTAGCAATTCATCAATCAATGCTTGCTTTTATAGCTAACTCAGATCGTGTTCTGCCAAGGTGCAGAGGCAACAACACACAACTGGTTGTCCATGATGTCTCAGGCCACACTGTACTTTCCTGAAACGAAGTGGAAAATTTATTAGTGAGCTTAAATATAGATCATTTATGTGAATGTGGCTCTGTTCGAGAACATAGCAAGCCCCTTTTATTATCAAAAGTAATTGCTGATGCAGTTCCTGCTGTAATTCATGAATTTCAGCGGTTCAATTAGAATATGACTGATTGAAGGGTAAATATGTTTAAAAAATGGGATCAGTTATTGTAGATGTTGACTGTTTTGCTCTTGGCAAAGAACAGCCCAAATGTTAATCAGTCTTCCACTCTGACAGTGATGGAAGAAGTACTGAAAATGTTTAGAACAGCTTTTACATACATGTCATTATAAAGGTGGGCAACCAACTCTTATTAATGATGTGTTGTAATTTAAAAGCCTATTATCTTATTAACTGAGTAACATTTCCATGTAGCTAAAATGTTTTGCTGTCAGCTAAGAGTAGTACAGTTGAAAGCATACTATTTTCCTCTGAAATGTGGTTCATAGTAATTATTTTCTACCTCTGGGAGGTAAATCCGTCATAGCCACAGTGTTTATGTCCCTGTTTTCATACTAGGGAGATAATTAATCGTAAATAATGGCAAAATGACTGCAGGTTTTTATTTAGATGATGTCTGACTTAAAGGCAGCAAGCCTTTATCTGGCAGTTTGGATTAGGTTTGCATAAACAGCATATATTTTAAATGAGCGTGACAAACCCATCCTCTTACTATTCCTTACTCCAAACAGTGGATTATAAATGGTTTGTTTTATCATCCTGTAGATACAGGATATTTTCACCAGTAGTGAAAGAACTGAACAGCCAGTAAATGTGAGTTTCAATTAGGGATATGGGTCGTTTTCCATTCCTTGTCAGTGACAAACCTCGCATTACCTCTGAAGTCTGACAGCTGTTGTGAACTGTGCGTGCTTCTGGGAGCTCCCTCGTGGCGATAGAGTGAGGTCATAAACCCCAAAACCCCCATTTTACCTGGAGTGCAACATTTCACCACAATCACCCTCAGGCATACTGACACCTCTTCTAATGAGTTCTTCAACCACTTATGATCTAATAGAGACTCCCATTCCCCTTATTTGAATCTGCTGCCACGCATATACAACAAATAGATTCTCCTCCGAATGCATAACATTGCTCTGGGGACAGTAAGATGGATTTGCTATGACTGGGTACTATTCTGCTGGTATATCCCCTTCAAATAAGAGTGTCCCTCGCCACGATTCTCCCTACTGGGACAATCTGCAGCATGACGAAGTGCAATTATGTGCCGCATAATAGCCAGTTCTAACCCTAACCCCGTTTAAGACGCGAAGGGCAAAGTAAAACCCTGCGGGACATGCTGTGACTGTGGAAAATTGGGATGGAGAGTATGTGTGACACATTGCCTGAAAAAGCAGGCAACAATGGGGAAATAATGGAAGGTCACGCCTCTGCCTGACATCACCGGTGAGAGGCAGCTTGTTCAGCATTTCTGGCACCGTTTTGGAAGACATGCAGAGATATTGGGATGTGCTTTGACTGTTTCTGCTTACTGTAAAGGAAGATTCTGAGAGATGTCACCTGTTGGCACAGCATTTTGACATTTTTTTAACCTGCACTACATCGCACACAGAGAAAATATTACATGGATGAAAAAAAATTCAGCATTTATATTTTTTTAGACACAACAGCAACAGTTTCAAGCAAACTCAAATAGAAAATAAGTTATAAGATCATTTTTTTTCCGATCCCTGCATGGTTCCTATTTTTTAAGATAGCCTAACATGCATTATTTCTAAATAAAGAAGCACCCTCTGATTTAATCATCTTATTTAAAAAAAACGACTAAAATATCCCAAAAAACACGAGCCTGACAGTACAGCTGTCGTCCCCATGTCACACTCCCACCCTTAATTTTTTTCATCCTCAGTTCCTTTAGATATCGCTCCTTTTACACCACAGCAAATCATCTCCATCACTTCCACTTAAGTGACATTTACAAATGAGGGTAAAATCAAGAAGGCAGTGGATCTCAAATTGGAAAAGGCATTGAACTGAAGATAATGCCACAGGCTTCTTAATATCAAACCAAATGATATGAAATGTCAAATGATGCGAAATTGTTACAGCGCTGAATTTTATGCTCTCAGTCTTCTCAGTGCATTTTTTACAGGCCCTTATTTAAATCTTTGAGTAAAAGCTTGATAAGATGAGTGTTATGTGGGCAGCACTGAACATCATGTTCACCCCGAGAAAAAAAAAAGCATTCTCTTAATTCGTGTCAAAAGAACCAAAGGTCAAATTAAAACGAAAATAAATAAAACTTGATGCAGCTCCACATCCAAGATAAAATTAGACGATTTAAACTTGTGTGTTTAATGCTGCTCACAGCACATTTTCATGTGTATCACTGTTTATTACTTATTTACCTGAAAATTTGTACACTGGCTTAACTTGCTTACATCCTGGATACCCAATGACAAACAATCTAAAACAGTTCCCTCGTGAATTTTCATTTTCTCAGGCGCTTTTACCCATGAATAAGTTTGTGATGATTTCTAGTATTGTTTCCTTCAGCTGGGTCTCAAGGTTTTTGTTATTCAAGGCCTACTTTCAGTGTCCTGAAATGTAGCTAGTTTAGGTTGATTAGTAGAACTGAGAGCAGGATGAAAGGTCAGGGTCATTGGTTGAAAGAGCTCTATTACACAGGCTCTAATGTGATCAAGGCCATGAAGAGCATCACAAAAAGGATTAAATATAAATTTGATAAAACAGTTGAAGATTAAAACAGTCAGTTTAGGGTGTCGAACTATAAAGAAGTTCCCTAACACCTCCAATTAATTGTCATGCCACTTTCTTGCCCCTTAAAATAATGGGGCTACTTGTGCGGAATATTGATCCATGTTGACAAAGCTTTGCAACACAAAGCTGTAAACACGGTGTGGTCTTGTGCTACATCTAATTAACGGCTTGACCTCACTGCCTGTGATACATGACACAAGACTGGGAAAAAATCCCATCTTGCCAAAGTATTTCATCTCCCTGCTGAACTCATGCCCCTTGTTCCATTACATTTGATTTGGAAACCTGTTCACGGTCCAGTTACCCCCATTTTCTCATGAGATTATCGACAGGGAGCCTTCATTTGCTCTAATCCCCCTTTTTGTCATTCAAGACCAGATGTCGATTCAACAATTACATTTCTATCTTCCAGGCATATCTTGTTGAAGACTAATATGCAAAAGAATGAAAACCACAGTATAGCAACTTTGCAAAAATAAGAATCTCTGTTTTTTCTCAGAAGAGGCACCCCATTGGGCTGTGAGAGGTTTCTGCATTGCTCTTTCTTTTCAGCCTCGTTTCCTGGAGTCCCTCCATGCTTCCCTCACCAGATGTGTAACACCCACAGCTCTGGAAGAGCCTCAGTCTTGTGATAAGAAGAGAGGTGATAGCAGCTCATGTTTATGGCACGGTGGTAATGTACTTGTATGCAACCCTAGGGCAGATGAGCAGATGCTTCATTACCCGCTCTATGAATTAGGATTAGAACAAGGCACCAGATTTGGATACGAAGAATCATGAAAGCCATAATGTAGGGGAAGATCCATGGCAGATTTGTACAATTTATGGCAGGGTTAAAGGGAAAAAACGCGTGTAAAAAATGTTGAAATAAACTAATACAGTAATCCAACCATGAAGACACTAATGTGCTGGCACGATATAATAATTAGTGCTTTCAGCATATAGCAGCGCAGGGCAATTCATCAGTATCACAAACAAACAGGCCCTATAGTTGACACTGAGTTAAAAACAGACGCTCTGTTAAATAGATACAAAACAATACTGAGCATCATAGCCTTCCAGAAAAAGCAAATGGATTTTGGTAAATTACTTTTGACCGAGTAAATGTAACTAAGGTCAGAGTGTGGTTTTTGTATGCTATTAAAACACTTAAGAAAAAGGATTATGGTTGCAGTTAACAGAGAGTCAACGTTGATTATAGGTCTGTGGCTTAATGCAAACTTTGGTCCCCTTTTTGATGGTTGGACTTGCACCGTGCCCACTCACCACCCACAACTTTGGGACCTTTTACATCCTTCTCTCCTGCCTGGCTTCAAAAAGGTCAAACTACTCTGTGCAGTGGCATTTAATGTTGACTCTGAGCTAAACACATGAGACATGGAGTCATCCATTGTGGTAATAATTCCTAAAGATTACTCAGTTGAGGAATATTAATCCAGAGCAATAGAATTTCCTTTTAGTGCTTTATTTTTCAGCCCAAAGGTACTTTCATTTTCAAGTAAATTGGCTAACATTTTTGGATTTAACTTGTTTTGATATTCTATGAGGTTTGCCAGCATGCAAACTTATATTATTAAGATCATAATAGTATATGTAATATTAATGATAGTTATTGTTATTATCATATTGCCAGCATTTGTATGCCAGTTCAATACTAAAAGTTAGTATATGAAGAGTATAGTTACTATGACAACGCTATAAGATAGCAAATATTGAGTCATACAAATGGCAAACCATGAATCATACAGCAAACCATCACTACTTGGGCTCTTTAACACACAAATTTACTGATGTATTTTCTTATTTCAGCAGATAGCTTTCAATTCCATTTGGTTTGTTCACTCATCACAGTGTTCCAGTTTTGCAGGACATTATTTATGAAATATAAAAGAAGACATTTGGCATTTGATCTTTTTCTGCCTCGTGTACAATCCTTACGTAAAAAGAAACATGTTAAAACAGGCTTTTTAAACAGGCATCCACAATCCTTCCCAAATGCCTGTTAGTGATTTGGCGGCTGCAGCATAATCAGAATGGGTCCAGGTGCATCCCGTTGGTCAAAGTTGACCATTATGACAATAGTCTGGTAATATCAATCAGCCTTCCTTTGTCTACGAGCTTTGCTGTCCCCTGTATATGAGATATCAGTAGGAAGATTTTTCCTATCTTTTAGCCATGCTTTACTGCAGCATCCTGGGTTAAAATTAATATTGTTTTCCCATTAACGTGAGCCAGAATCAATTAAAAAGCCTCAACATCTGCAAAAACCCTCTTTTCATGTTAGGGGTACCCACCAGGTTTTTGACTGTCCCTACCAAGCTTGATCTCTGTTCCCTTTGTCTATCACACTGGATTTGTATGCACATGGTCACTACCTGACTCAACAGCTCCTGTATGATTTATTTTGTGCAAGAAATTTAGAAACATCTTTGAAATGTGAATGTGCATTTAAGCTTTGTACTGGGATGTTTTTCTCTTTATTTTTCTGCATGAGCTAAACATTCAAAGTGAGCTTAAATAGCTGATACAAAGATATGTCCTCCATTTATACATGTAATATAAGTTGAAGAATGGAAAAAAAGCTATTGGTTTGTGGTGAATACATATTTTGTATGTATGTATGTATGTGAATACACTATTAATCAGCATTTTCAGTGCTGAAATTGATGGACAGCCCATGTTACAGAATTGGGTGCACAGCAGCATCTTGTATTTTGTATTTGATCACAGCACTACTTTTGCAGGTGTCATTCACACTAACAAAGCCAGACCATGTGGAAACCAGCTCCCGTCGGCATGTTAGATGCACTATAGATTAAATCAACCAGAAAAGCATTGCCTTCCAGACATGAAGGCTTTGTACTCTTTATTATAATAGCATCTGTTACGTTTTACCCGTGCTTGGTGTAATTAAACCAACACAATTTGTATTACCATTGCATGTGCATGGACATTCCTGCAAATGATTATGGCTGATAGGATTGTGTCAAAGTCTAAAAGTTAATTCCATCAGCTTCTGTTCTGTCAGTTTGTATCAAGCCCAGCAGCCGATGTGAAGAACCCACTAACCATTAGACCTTGCAGTTTTTTTTTTCTATTCAACTAAGGAATTTCACCTCACTGGCTTTATGAGGTTTTCTAGCCATCCCTAAGCATTTGCTCTCTGAACCCAAAGTCCAAAAAGATTTCAGTCCCACAGGAGTGGAGATGGACTCAAGAGAAGCTGGAGGGCATGCTACAGAAATCAAAAAGCCTTTTTAAATCCAGAGACTGAAAATAAGGCTTAAAAGGGCATTTTTATTTGACTTTGAGGAGGCCGTGATGAATGGGATGGACTGTACACATTTTCACAGGGGAGCACTATTAATGGCAGAGCATATGACACCAGGAGGCACAGACAAATGCATGAGGCATCGAGGCAAGGGATTTTTGTGTTGACTGATTTTTTTTTTCTTCTTTTGAAGGTGCGATGTCAGCTCACTGCGATTTTTGCTTACAGGGCTGGAAAGACTAGGTCAAAACCCGGTAGGTTTTGACAAGACAAAGACTCCGTCTGTTGCATGGCGAGTGTTTTCGATGTCATCATGGTGCTTTTGGAAGCCAAAAAACCCAACTGTTGTCACTGCCATAAATTAGACTTTCCAATAATAACTAAAAGAATACACGCAGCTCATTTCCTGCAAGACATCGGCTTCTGAATTGCAACAACGCTGTAAACTTTAAACCACGGGGCCTGTCTTTACACAGAGTACTTCAGTGTTCAATGTTCAGAACAACAACAGATGACGCCAAACATTTAGGGACACTCAAGAGGAGCACACCCTACTGTGCATACATAGTGCCAATTAAAACAACAGCTGCGTTAAATGCCCTTAATGGATCCTTATTTTTATCATCATGATTGTTACTATAGAATAGCCTGTAGGACCAAAAATAGCTTTAGGAACATTACAGCGGCATGATGCAAAATTCAGAAATGGTAAGCATATAGGGTGTTTCTCAACAGTTTTGTTTCACTATAAAAAATAAAGTGGAAATTCAATTACTCATTTTGTGCATGCGTTGAGGCTGAAGGCCAGGCCCCACAATCTAAATGGTAATCTCAAGCTTATTTATTTTTTTCTGTGTGCTGTACAACTGTATTGTAGCACCGGCGCTTTGTGAAGAGGTTACTCCGCTGCCAACCGATCTTCATTACCTTGTAGGATATAATGAGCGTGTTTAATCCAAGGTAAAGAAGCACCTCTTCAAAACTGGCGCAGACCAAGACACCAGGAGATGAATGGAGACACTTCTGATGATTATGCCTCTTTTCTATCTGCCAATTTACGTCACTAAATAAATCCGCGATTTACTGTTTAACAGCGTCCGGAAATTGTAAACATTTCAGTGATTAATTTGCCCAGAAAAGCTGTGCGGACTAGATAACAGTGTGACTTCGAGGCCGGCCGTGGCCCCGAGTTTTGTTTGGCCCTACATTCAGCCCCCTCGACAGTATACCCAGAGACACTGTTGTGATTTCAAGTTGAGTCACACTTCTACCTGTATCAGCCTGTCTATGAAAGCGAAAGAAAACTACTACACCCTGCCCTGCAATCTCCACTGGGCTGAAGTAAATTGCTTTCTTTTTGGCCAGCTCCCCTTTGTTATAATGTGACAAGGCTACTGATTAGATGAGAAGGAGATCAATAAGCTGTCGGGCTTGTGACTCAAAAGGAGTACAGACAAATCAAGAAGGAGACTTTCTCCACCCGGGCATTGACTTGATTTCACACTGAGCCTCCAGTCGTCTGGGTTAACACACCCATTTCACTTTTTTGTTTAATATGGCTAACCACTTATCTGTGGAGAAGGATATGGTCACTACGTACCAGTATCTTATCATCACTGTTCATGTCTCCACCATGCAATTCTATTTTAGTGAAAGTCTGTCCCGTGTTTAGTTAGAAAAAAATATCTTCACATTTCTTTGACCATTTTCTCCTTTTCTTCTGCCCTTGCTGTTAAGGTTTTGCTGTCATTGCCCACTATCACCTGCCCTGTACCTTCCTCTTGTCCACGGGGCCACAAAAAGGCCTGCCCTGCATTCTTCATGCTGTTCCCAAGATGTCAGAGCATAATACTTTTACCTTTACCATCGGTCAATGACCAGATTTTTTCTTTTCACATTTTGAGTTATCAGTGTTGTAAAATCTTTCAATATATGAATGGATTTGTATTCATATTTGTTCATTTTTGCAGCCATGGGAAAAAGCCAAGCTTGATGTTCATGTAAAGTGAGTTTGCATATTGCTGCTTTGTTGGAGCCTTTCCCTTCAAAAAGGAGCATTTGGATTGTGCCATTACTTCATATCCCGCTGCTCTCCGTCACATGACCTTCCCTTCTGATTTTCACATCTGTTTTCCAAATCCTTTGAGCCCTGTCAGTGATTACTTGAGCTCCTTTCAACCTGTCCCGCTCCAGATTGATCCTATGCTTGTTATTGTGGTCAAGCTGGTCTGTCAGTGACTTGTTCCTGTTGCCTGTTTGCATGGGACAGGCCTTGGCTTTGTGAACCGCTTCCCACCTCTGGTCATCAATGTTTTGGTCTCAAACGAAGATAATGGATATGAGGAAAATAAATACACGGCAGAATGAAAATAAAAACATTGAAAATAATATTTGTCTTTAAAATTTGTATCAATATGCATTTTTACATACAATAAAGAGTATCTAATTTATATCAAGACAACAACACACACTACAAGCCACATTCACAAACACATTCACACTTCTCTAGGGACAATTTAACATGTGGTCAATAGTGTCCAGAGATTGACCTTTTGATTGGCAGATGACCTTTGGTGCCGGTACTGTAACAAGTAATGGTCTAGTTTTTTTTTTGTTTGCCATTCTTTTTTATAATACCATACATTTTCATGACAGTTCAATGACATTTTGTCCGTACGTTCAGCTGATGGTTAAACAACATCAAACAAACTTTGCTTCCAGTTGTGAGCCACCTCAAGCCATCTATGATGAAATGGAGCATTTCTTTCCTTCTGTTTGTCTTTCTTTTTTTACTTTTCTTTTTTTTTTCGAGCTGGTGCTCTGGCTCGTGCTCATTGACAGTGATGCTGATAGGATGGGGCAGGTGTCCTTTTGATGTCCTCAGCACAGTTATCGAAAAGTCATATTGTATGTGAAAACCAATCATAAAGGATAACAGGCGGTAATAGCTGTTGTCTCAGCATAATTGTTTAGAACACAGAGAGAGGATCTGTGAATGGCATGCACGCTGGAGACATGTTTGTGCTTACTGCCTTTTGAAGATTGTTGCTATATGTGACGGGACATGCTGCTGTAGGCAGCTATTTTCCATCCAATTAAGAATATGCATCGAGTTCAACAGGCACACGCCTGAAAACAGGCTTTCATCCCTGTTTTAAACTCCTCTTAAATGATACAGTCAAGAGGAGTGTGGGGAGCAGGGATCTCTATAGGATCCAACTGCCAATCAAATCTCAGATCTATTTATCAATTAATGAGTTGGTAAGAGTCTCAGCAGTGCCTGCAGTGTGTTCTGTAAGTTTTTACAGAATTAATCACTGTGTAGTTCATTAAGCCTGAGGTGTGTTGATGCCCTTTCACAGAAGTGACACTCTCCAGCACAGTGCCGTTAAACGTGTGATTTGTAAAGCCACACACTGCCGTTAATGCACATTGACACTCAGTTATAGAGTCATGTTAAAAATCATATCCGAGGAGGCGTCGGGTAAGTTGTGGTAACGCGTGTTGCGTTTACCACTCGTGTCACTCGAAGCTGAAATTAATCCCTCCACATCACAGCCGTGTGCCAAAGGACAGAATGTCTGGGCTCCTGTGGGTGCCTGCTGAAACGGTCTGTCAGGTGTAAATCTTTGTTTTTGAGATTTGAGTGTTATTGCTCTGAGACGTGCAGGAAATTAGACCACGAGAGTGAAATGGCTACATGCGAGTAACAGCTACCTTTTGGATTACCCCCTTTTGAGACTCAAGGAGTGGTTGATAGAAAGCCCAGGGGGCATAAGACAGAGCGACTTTACTCTGATCCTGACAAAAAGATGGCTGCCACCCAAAAATATCATCTCTTCTCAGCTTGACCCACTTGTTTGCTCTTATCCTCAGCAATGTTGTGGGGGAGTGGAATGATGTGCTGTTGCCAGCAGAAATTGATTCTCAACGTCTTCTTTTTTATGTTCCTCGTGCAACAGGGTGTTTAGTAGTGAAACATGATATACATAATTTTGCAGATGCTATTTCCAAAAGTCACTTAAAGCAGACGCGGCGTTGTTAGCAGGAGTGGGAGCAGACAATCTATGAGGCGTTATTATACACTCAATGAGCTAGCAGTAGATAAAGAGTGTGTCACCCTTTTTAAATTGTCATTGTGTCAAGCTGCAGGATGTTCAGTGTGTGACTACCGGCCCCTGCAGTGTCACAAGTGCAGCCGGATCACTGAGCCGAACAAATACAGATCCCCGGCAAGGTGACTTTTTATGTGTCCATGGCTCTGGCATAACCTTCTTTAAAGACCATGTTTGAGACATAGAATTCAGATCGGTTGGCAGATCGAGACCTCTACCTTTGTTAACAAGCACCATCTTTGTCACTGTCACTCTCCCAGCTGTGCTGTTTGTCACCAGCACTGATTCTTACCCCGCTGGACTTAACGACCTATAACGCAAGCCTGTACAATCCAGAGGACAGCACTATTAGTCTTTCCTAATAAAGTTAAATTGGTTTGGTAACATGTCAGAATGGCTTTTTAAATATGGATTATATTTTCCAATTTGTCTGCCTGTGTAGATGCTCTTATCGTCAGCAGCAGAGACGCTTGGTTATGATCTCAAATAATTGATTTTGCAATGAGTTTACGCCGCAAGAAGATGTGGGGAGGAAAACACAGACCCATCTTTTAAAAATATTCAAAACACAAATGAAGAAATCTTTTCATTCATTTTAACAATAATCACTGTCAATGTATTTCCTTTTTTCTTTAGTATTAACAGGATTGTCTGAATTGTTCAGATCTCCACAATAACAAATTGTTGTATTAATTAAGGAAAAGAAAAAAAAATGTTTTGTTTGGATTTTTTTTTTCATATACAGCAAAGGGGGAATCAAGTGAACAAGGACTGTGGGAGTGAGATAAGGTGGAGTCTCTTTTGCAGTCTTATCAGTCTCCTCAGCAGTCTTAGCAATGCCACAACTCCCATGAGAATTGGAAATAACAGCCAAAATGTATTTCTTTTTAACTCGTGCTCTTTCTGCAGATGGATTTTGGGGATCTTAACGTCTGAAAGCCGTCACCAAGTCCCAGTATTAAACGCTATCGCACCTCATTTTATTCGAGAGAACTCAAGGAAAGTGAAATACATTTACTGAACTTAACAGGAGTTAGTGACATTGACTTACTGGAAAGGCATTTACAATTTGCATACCTTCTTTATATATATGTATTTTTCAAATCCAGTCTTTTTTTACATTTTCTTTTACCTGTAAAAAATATAACAAAATATTACATTCCATTCAAAAGGGAATAAGAAAATGTTATTTTAGTTAATAACATTAATATTTGCTTATTCAACCACATACTGCTCTTTGTTTAACCTGCATAAATATAGATACTCACAAAATTAAGAAGTGCACCACTTTATTTTCTTTTCATTCTCCTTGGATTGTATTCATTCACATTATAAATAAGAGCTGCGTGATCGAAAGAGCTCAGAGCTACAGTGGGTCCATGAAAGGAAATTTGTGTAATGACATGGCCAAATTCCACAGGAAAAGAGAGCTCACCTTGGTTGTAGTTAGTCTCAGTCTAAGAAGTCTAAAAAATAATGTAGCAGGTGATTATAATCAGTAAGTAACTCTATGTAACCAGCGACAGTGACACCTGCAAGGTGCTTTGCTGAAATACCAAGGTTCAAATTTATTGTTTGCACTTGCTAACAAGCATCAGGCAGTATTAAAAAACTGCACCTGCTACAGGTTTGGCAAACTCTGAATCATCTGCGCCTTGAAGAGAATACATTTTCTGGTCATAAAAAAGAAAAAGAAAAAGAAAAACACTGAACCAAATATTTTCCCGTTTTTGCTGAAATTACCTTTTAATGAATTTCAAGTCGAGTTACCTTCCACCACAGTCAGCCTTGAAACCAAATTTGTGGTTGGAAAATAAGATTCAGTAACATAAACTGTTTTTTGCTCCATGTCTGCTCGAACTCAGTTAAGTTTTTTTTAAGCCCTTAATACATAAGATAAAAATGCCACTGACATCCTCTCGCACTCGCTAAACTCTTACCAAGCACCATAGATGATTAATTTCTCTAGCAGAGACAATATGATGGCTCAGGCTTCCCTCACTCTGCTTGCAAGGCTTCTTTGTGTCCTTTGTGTGACATCCAGAGCAGGACAGAGGGGCTGCAGAGGGGTGACTAATGTATCCAGGTGGGTCATATCTTGCTGGCTGTATAATAAGCAGAATGGCATTAAATTTTGAAAGTGGAAACAGATCAGAGCAGTGCTACTTTTTGTCAAATCAAAGCAGTGACCTTGATACGGCTCAAAGCGCAGCTTTAGGTATTTTGCCAAAGGTTCCCTCCAAGGTTATTTATCTTAAGCCTTTTCTCTTGACTGAGAGTTATTGTGTAGTTGAGAGTTGCGATGTTGAAAATTTGGGGGGAACTTTCAATCACTCTTAGAAAAATATATGGTGGTATGATTTTGAGAGAGCTGAAAATTCCCGTTGTGCAGCGCCTTATTTTTTATTGACCTTTTGAACGACCAAAGTGCCCTGTTCTTTTTAAGCAAAATTGCATGTGAAAAACAAAAAATAACCAGACAGAAAAGAGGAGAGATAGCACGAGAGTGAAATGAGGCATTCAAATGCCTCCACGAACAAGCAGTGGATTCAACCAGCCGCACCACAGACGCACAAGTGTGCTGTCACACTTGCATCCTACAAAAAGCTGCACAGTGCCATCTAGAGGTGCCTCATGCAACAAAACAGAGACTGAGAGAAAAAAAAACTTAAATTGAGTCTCTCGCAGGTGTCATACACATTTCTGCAGGTGTATCAGATGTTGGGAGCTGATATCTGTCTCCAGTGCAAGCAGGCATGCACTGAGACGCTCTCCAGGTGAAAAGAAGGAGACATGTCACTGTGATTGCTGATTCTGTTATCCCCACATAACTAATCTCTCACTGAACCCATTTTAGAGGACGAAGGGTGTGCTACAAATAAAACTGTAGCAAAAATGTGTTATACTATGGTAGACCTTGTCGGTAAGGAAGCACAAGGAGGAAAAATGGAAAAATACGGCATATGAAATGTCATGAGACTTTGAGATGGAACTAAAATTTGAAAATGGTTGCTCTTAACTGGCTATGGTTTGTCTTTTTCAGTTTTAATCACCGGTGCTCAACTGCCCCCGATAGCACAATGACATCTTTGACACTGCAGGTACACAACATTCACACGGATGATGTCATTAATTTTCCTGCTCAGTGAGCACACGTTGTTTTCCTTCTGCAAGTCCCTTGTCACACAAGTCAAAGTTCCTTGTTTCTGTATTTTCTCTTAATTAAAATTAACACATTGACCAGAAATCATAGTTATGCGGTAAAATGCAAAAAGCAATCAAGTGCCACATGACTTCATGAAACATTACGTGCATTTAAAATAAAACATTCATCATCTATGTTCCAATTGAAATATGTATTTTGGCATTTTTGGTAATGATTTTATATTTTAGCTAAGAAATACTGTTCAGCAAATTCATATGGATGAGGCAAATAAAATAATATAAATTCAAATACTAATTAAAATAAAGTAATAGCAAGAAAATGATTGGGTTGTCTAACCTTTTATAAGGTATGTAATACTTGGCTGTACAGCTGGTGGAGGAGCTTCATATTCTAGAGAAAAATGAGGACAAAAGTCTGAAGTGAGCCCCAGTCTGAATTAATTGCCAACACCTAAAGCAAATATAGCCTTCATTTGGCCACACAATGATTACAGAGGTCACTAGAGCTCTTGGAGTTCTTGTCCTCATTTTCAACCAAAAAAAAAGTCTTCCTACAGGGCTTCCTGTGACTTTAGCCAATGTCACAGGTAGAATATTCTAAATGTGGATCCCTCAAGGACTTCTTTATGTTCTGTAATAATTATTAGTGCCAATGTCTATTTCTGTCTTTCCAAAAGATCTCAACTGAGACAATGCATATACCATCCATCCATCCGTTTTCATAGCCGCTTACCCCCTGATGGGGTACAATGCATATACCATTATATTTATGATGATGCATCCTCCAGATTGTGATGTTTATTTGTTTTTAAAAAGGAAATATAAACCATGTAGACTACAACAACTGAACAGCATTTAACCAAGAGATGAACTATATGGGTATATGAATGAGGTCTGAACTGGGAGGTTAACCAGATGAGAAAAGAGCCATTCTTTTCTCACAAGATGATGCCTTTTTTTGCGAGTTTCTGGCAATGGTTCTCCTAACCGACTGAGCTGATTGGCAGCCAGTCAAATTTATGAAGCAACCTAGCAGAGCCCATGGCATTTTTGATGTGTAAAACAGCTGCTTTGTGCACCGTCAACATGCGGCTCGAGCCGTGTTTGTTACTGTAAGTTTTGTGATGTCAAATACTTTGAAGAACATTTTTCTTCTGGAAATGTAATACACTATTTGCTTTTTTTAAAGTGAATACTGTGTGCATGAAGGTCAAGAAAAACAGAGATAGCTTTGTGAGAACTCAAGGGAATTCATTATACACAATCTGGCCTATATTTAAACATATAAATCACATATGTGAAGTGATGTGATCCAAACAGTAAAATCCAGCTGAATATGATATATATAGATTTGATTAAAATTTGGAAAATAATCCATTCATGTTTTTTTAAATGTTTTTAAAAGTTGTGAAGTATAATGACATATATGCATAGGCAGTATAAACATTTTTTGCTCTCTTACTTGAACTGTAATCAACTATTTGAATAAGCATTTGCCACAATGACTGAATGTTTAAATGAAGACACCATCAACGCCTTTGTGGTTTTTTATGGGTTTATGGAAAAAGCTGAAGAGAGAAAAACATATTTCAAGACTGGAACTCTCTCACTCAGACAAAGAGAGATTGATGGCACTAATGCTTCTTTTATACCACGGATATCAATGGTTAAACACAATTTATGCTATGACACAGGAAAGCTGAGCAGCACATGTTGAATGTGAGACTTTTGGGATATTCATTTTCATTTCATAATTGAATTGTAGTTTTGTATTACTAAAAATTTGTTGGAATTTGCTGATAGAATTGGTAGTAGATAAGAGTATGAACAATCTTGAACTGTAACAGTAACGCCACCATCAACCTGAATGAGGCACAATGACAGGTCGTACATCTGGTGCAGGAAATCTCGAACGATTCTTTGCCACAATATAAAGTCACCGTATTATCTACAAACTGGGTCTGGCCACTGGGAAGGTAGCCTACCCACACCCGGTTCCCTTCCTCGACAAAATAATTGAGACATTAAATGGTAAAATGTTCAGTGTCACATCAAAAATAAAAAGACTGTCAGGGAGCTGTGGCAGAGGCAGGTGACTGTGACATTGATAATGGCCCATGTTGTGACATGCCCAAAACCTTGAAGGGAATTTATTTTTTTCTTTCCTCACAAGATGGTTGTCATTTTAACAGTCAGTGGTGTTAGGAGACAGTTGTATGTCCAGCTTTATCATCTGTCTGACCAGAGAAACCGCTGCGATAGAAAAAAGGAAAAAATGTGCTAGATTTTTAGGGCAGATAACAACCTCGGAGTTTGTTGCCCCTGTCATGCTAATTAAATATTATCTGGAACTCCTCTGCCTCAAATGCAAGTTACTGCAGTGAGTGTAGCTGCTGTGTCAAAGGCAACTGTCAAAGTACAATCTACAGCGGAAAACGTGTTCACCCTACAAAAAAGACCAGTGGAGTTTTCCGGTTTGTGTTATATAATCTGGTTTCCACAGACCTTTTGCAGGCTAGTAAATCAATTTCCGTCAACCAAGAAATAACTGAGTGCTTGACAAAGGAAAACAACAGAGGACATCATTGTTTACAACATACAAACAAAAAATTGTCAAGCATCCAGCAGACTTGGAAACATGCATCAAGTAAAAAGTGTACATATTGATGGTAAGCCTCTTTCAGTCTACATTTAAACATTTTCATCAAGATCTTGGAGATATCTCCACAGTATTTGGATTTGGTCAGTTTTGAAAGGGCTGACCCTACTAATCTCTGGCTTTCTGTCCCATTTGAAGTGCATTTTAATCTCAAAAGTTAAACTATATGTTTGTTGTTAATGCATTTTTCTAATCAATGATTGTACATTACAATAACATGAGAATTTTGATAAGGATAGTGCAAAAGACCAAAACTGTACAGCTGCTCAGCAAAAGGGTTTCTGGGTGAAATTCTGTCTGCATGGGTTCTCCACGGGTATTCCGGCTTCCTCATCCAACGTGTGGTTATTAATTTCTATGTGGCCCAGTAATGGACTGGCTACCTCTAAAGGCTGTTCCCCACCTCTCGCTGAATGTTAGCTGGGATAGGCTCCATCCCCAATGACCAAAATTCCAAATGAATAATTGCCAGTATCATACCTACACATAGTGGCACACTGAAAACATGTATCAGAACAATTAGAGCTTGAAGATTTTTACATATCCAGCCCCGAACCCTGCTGTGGCTCATGCCAGTGGAAATCAACATATTTTTGCGATGGATGATAAGAGCTAATGTGACACTGTTCTGCAGAGCAAGCAGAGGCACTACAAACAGTCATCAGCACTCAGTGTTCAAGGACTTGTTGTGAATGAGGAAGACATGAGAAATGTTTCCTTGATATGCCAGATGTTTCCTCAGGAGCTTCTTTTATTGCCTCAAGCAAGACAACAAAGAGACACGGAGACAAAGCTAATTGAATCATGATATTTCTCTTCTTCTTCATGCTGACTTTGACTTTAGCTTAGGTTATTTCAGCATTGGCTTTTTTCACATTATGTCACAACTGTTTAACATAGCCAGCAAAAATGAGCCCTTAACATTTGTATCATCACACCTTAAATATGCAGTAAGAGTAAAAGCGTTGACACACACTTGCTCACTTGAAACAAACTGGCATTGATTTTGATCTTTTACACCGCCTACCTAAAGCTTTGAACATCTTTGGTTTTCAAGTATGAATGTTGTTAGCATGTGAGTGATTTGGAAATGTGTTAGAAAATGTGTGTATTGCTGCTGGTGTGTTCTGTGCGTAGCAGCCCAGTGGGAGACAATATGAGAATTTGCCAATAATAATAGATCACGTGTACAAAACACAATTCAACTGTGGTAGTTTCTGCAAGTAAAATATGTTGCATTCAATATTTGTAGGATGTACCTCTTTTTGTGATGCATTTCAAATTCAATGCATTTGTCAGCTGACCTAATCCGTTAACAATAAATGGCAGCTATACCTCTTCTTTGTCATTGAGATTTAATCTAAGCTATACAGGTGTACCAGCTAATCATATATCTATAACTATCTGAGATAAAAAATTGATGGGGCATCCTTTTTATTACTGTGATGACCGGGATCCTTGAAATATTGCCATATTCTACACATCGAATCCCTAAAGATGACAGCTGACCCACGGTGTCAGCTTTAAATTCAGAGTATGTTTAAATACTATCAAGTTTGACTGGAATGCATTTTGTTCTTAAATCATGAAAGCAAAAAGAAAAACCTATAAAGAAGCGCTATAAAAAAGGATCGCTTTATAATTCATGGATCAACAAGAAGGACAAGCTTTTTTTCAGTCATATAACTAAGCACACCATATGGTTCCTGAGTTTTGCAATCTGTGATTATGCAACGGTAGCTTTAATGGTCATATGTTTGTCAGGATGGACGCATCGATGTATGACTGCATAGTCTCCTGTTTTTTTCTTGTATATTTTTTTTGACAGGTGTGTGGCAGGAATTAAAGCAGACTAACCTTCAACTTACAAGCATAAAAAGCTACATCAACATTGTCGGTGTGTGAAAAAAAACGGGACCTCTCGCCGGATGACCCGTGCTCCTGCGCGTGGGGGCGCTTGCGGTTTGGCGAATGCAGGTAAGAAGACGTTGAGACTCATGAACTCTTTTCACTGTGCAGCTACCCACTTATAAATATAGCATCAATAGAGGCCCTGTGTGGTGGTTTTGGGCAAGAAGAATGAAGCATCTCCACCCGAAGACTTAGTGATCTCAGATGAATGGGGTGTCATTCAGGGAACACGCAGAGCAGGGAGGGAGGATCTGACGCCAAGTGCTGCAGCTGTTAGTGAAGGCCGTTCCTCTCAACCTCAGTCGCTCTCTAAAGCCGCGCCTGTCTTTGCACAGCGATGTCCTTTCATGCCCTCCTCCGCATCTTTTGAAAAAAAAAAAAACATGCTTCAGCTCCTTTGCAAAAAAGAACTTGTTGTTTGGCCGTAGTTATCTTGTATTGATTTTCATTTGCCTCAGTTAAATTCAACCAAACAGAGTGACAGGTGGTGCTTGTTTTTAACAAGACTCACACTCAGTCATTCTTTGAGTTCAAAAGTTTTGCATATTATTTTATATCCACGATGAATACATTAACTTTCGGCTAATTTCAGTGACCTCCGATGAGAAACAGTTAAACTCACAGCATGTTACAAAGAGTCGGATATGAGCACGTAGAGCCACATGCTGATTAAAAAAAAAAATCTTTATAAAACACCTCAAATCCCGCTAGCTAGTTTCCCAGGAAAAGCTGTTGAAGTCTAACTTCGGTGTTCCTAAGAGAATAGGTTTGACTGTGCACAGTTGGACCCATCAATCTGATGTCTGTTTACATGGCTGCCAGATGTTATCTGGCATGACCAACACAACTCAGCTGTTTTTTGTTCTTTAGTTAGTTTTGACTAGTACTGAAAGAACCCAATCCATCTGCACTTTATTCAATAAGAGTATCTGTTGTGAATTGTGAGGATTTCAACAATGACAGAGATGAAAAGAGAACATTTACACTCTTGTTAATTTGCATGAACTGTTGATGAAAGATGCTGTTTTATGTTCATTTTATGTGTTGAGCTAAAAATTCTAACTTTTTCATAGTAAAGGCATGTATAAATCTCAGGTATATCTCAAAGTAAATATAATAAGTGGTCAAGTAGAAAAAACTACACCTGTTTTTGTAGAATCCTTTGCACTTTTTTTTTTACTTAAAGAAACCTGTAAAAGAATGAATCATTGTTTGGTGCAGAAGTTTCTGTGAAAACCATAACAGAGAAGAGATCAGTATTTAAAATTAAATCTGCAAAAGGATGGTTTAACAGAGAGAAGTACTGTATACACCAGCTGACATTTTCTTCCAATCAGATTAGCTTTAACCTTTGTTTTGTTGTGTTTTTCTGGGGCCGTCGAATGTAGAGAGCAGTAGCTCTCCCTTCAAAGGAGATAATTCGATAGAGGTTGCAGAATTCTATTTTCTACACCCATATATAAAGACAGCCACCTTCAACATGTTGCTAGTAGAAACACTCCTACCAATATTTGGTTTATGGATCTGTGAGTAGTTAATCCACCGGGCAGTTGCTGTGTTGCAGTCTGTTTGCGGCCGCATTGGTGGCCACGATGAGAGCTGTGCATATAAAACATGGTGTTTCAAAAACAGGGAGACTACACTGATGATCCTGAGTAGTGCTGTCTCTGTGGATAATTATTAATGCAGTAGTATTTCCACACTATGGTGGCTGTACTGAAGCATTAGCATGATCAGATCAACTAGTATAGCAAGAGGCTGAAGTTTGACAAGGGGCTGCACTATTTCCACACCAGACAGGAAAGTATGGGATGCAGCACTGAAAGGATGAGACAGGTAAACAGCAAGTCAAAGCACTGTTTATGAAGATACTTCACTATGGGATGCCACCAGACAGGACTGGGACAAACAGAACAGCATGGTTGTTGACTTTGACTGCTGACTTCAGCTCTTTAAACAGCCGTGTCTCCTGTGCTTGGTAAATAAGAACTTGCTTACCATTTTTATTTATAATGGGGCTTAAGGTGAACACAATATGCAGTGATATATGCCAGTGGCTGTTTGAGGGCTCAATTTTTTGCAACAACACATAACAGGAATGACAAGTGCCCCATTTTGCAGTTTTGATGGAAGTGAACTTAAAGTGCTACAAAATGTTCATGAAAGCTAGTCTTATGTTTTTTTTATGTAGACATGCAACCAAAGACATACAAATGCATCACAGAAAAAATACTTTCTCACTACATCAGTGTTGTTTTCCCAAGTTTATCTCTCCATAAATGCTATGTGGTCCATAGAGATGCATCAATGACCAGCTTGAACAAACCTTCACATAGTGGTGTGTTAGGCTTTTTTTCCATATTTTCTCCTTAGTTTTTTTTTATTAACCCTTTCCCTGTCCAATGTAAGTGCAAATACAGGCAAACATTTTGCTGATGTATTTTTTTTCAGTACTGGGACCACTCTGTTCCCCTGTAATTTAATTACAGTGGACCTTGGCAAGCCTAAGCAGTGCCCACGCAGAGCGATGTAGAATGCCAGCCGGGAACATCCTGTCTTAGGCGACAGGAACATCAGATGCGACAGATGGCTCATAAATCATGGAGGTGCGTGCACAGGGTTGATGGGAGGCCTTCCTCTGGAGAGCACACAGTGAGCAGGTGGCCAAAGGGAGCATCAGCTCAGCAGCATGAGCCCTAGATGCATTACCAATGTGACATGGTTTGTTGTCAAAGAGAAAGAATCAGGATGGAAGACATAGAAAACTGTTTGCCTTTTGTCACTCTACACACTCACCTCGTTGAGTATGAATGTGTTCTCTAATATACCTGATCAGAGCCATTAGAGTACAGGATTAAAATGTAAAGCGCAATAATATGATAATAATAATCTCGTTCGCAATAGGCACCATATGGTAGAGTTATCATCTGACAAACTGAATTCAGTTGCTGCAGATGAAACTCTTGTAACACTTTGAATCTGACATGGAGAAATGTCATGCAAAGACTTTCATATTCACTGTTCATTGTGAATTGTTTTTGGAACTTCAGGGAAAGATCCAAGAAAGTGACAGCAGTTCACATATATTCTTATGGATTTGTGGGTGTTGTAACTCTGGCTTAGTTCATGTTGGATTTCTTATTTTGCTTTTTTTTCCTGCAGACAAGGATGAAAATATTTGAAAGGTGTTGCATGCTGGGTGTTGTGTTGAAAGCACTGTGTTACTCTGCAACTGCTTTTTGTCTTTTACTGCAGTCGCCTGGATAGATTTGGTTTGTTTGACTTAAAGCAGTCAAATTGATGAGAAAGTAAAAGGTAAAGAAAAAACAAGGAGAAAGGATTGCGAATCCAGTGAGATTATGAATCACCCTGCTGAAGGTGATATCTTAACAAGCAGAACTCATCTTACATCAAATCCAGATCTCTCTTTAACATTCTGTTCCTCTCTAATTTTTCTTTGTGCTCCTGTTAGCACCTGGATTCAGTTAGCCAATTACAACACCTGCCATTTGTCAGCCATTAGGCCTCTTTGTGTAAGTACGTCCTTTGACATCTGTCAGATGTTTATCTTGGGCATCGTCATGTTGCTTGCTTTGTTACAGTTCGGTTTGTCGGTGCTGAAGGTTTCTTGATTTCTCACCACCGAGTGTCACATTTTTCATTTTCCCCTCAGTCCTCACACAAAGCATCATATGGCAACACAATTCTCTTTGATAGTGTGACAATGGTGGTTGAATTTTCTAGATTGAAAAAACATGCAATTTAATCTAAGTGAGTGAGTGGAGCAACCGGTTGGTTTCCTGCACTATGGATTTCTTAATAGCATAAACTCGCATTATACAGTGTGTCTATAATTCTTATAAAATATCTAAATTGGATTGAAGGAGATCACAATTTAACTGGATAGATTTTTTTATTGAGCTTGTTCACTCTCTTCAGATTACTTTTCGTGTTACTTTGAACTATCTAAATAAACTAGGTTAAAAATGAAGTGGAAATACTTTTTATTGAATTAAATTATGTTCACATCGTAGCCTGTAGAACTGGACCTCATACTCTCCCGCTCCACGTTCATTTCTGGTGAGTTAATTAAGACACCACCGCATTAATTGATCCTGATATGCAATCCGTTCAGAGGAAAAGTAATTTCCTTTTTGATCACTAACTGCCGTGGCTTCCAATCAGCATTTTATTTTGCATTCAGTCACATGAGAGAATTGCTGTTCCTACAAGCAGAAGGCAGAGTGCAGCAGGTGACAATATGCAAAATCAAAGAATAAAATCCTTCCATTTGCGCTTGTTTATTTTAGAATCAGCTTAAAAATATGCATAGCTCTCTGTGCAAACACCTATTGAGTTCCAGTACACCTTAACAAAAAAAAAAAATCATAAATTCTATAATGTAATTCTTGTAGACTTAGTTTTTCGTGTATTCTGTTTGGGGGGTTAAACAAATAATTATGACTTGGCCAAGTCAGTCTTTGTAACTCCCTTCCCTCTGGAAGGGAAGACAACATAATGAAGACTTTGAATGATTCCCTGAAAATAATCATGTTTCTTTATCTTATATGATTTGAAAACGTGTTCCAGGTTACTCATTAGTGGCAAAAGCACTCCAGCTTTTCTGAGCAGATAGAAAGTGAGCGTGAAGTCGTGTCTTAATTCCAAAACAAATAAGGATTAAAAGCTAAACACTGCTTGGCTAGGAGACAGCCTGCAGATATATTATAGTTGTATTATTCTATCAGACAATATTGTGCCTTTAAGCACGGGAGGCTTTATTAATATGTATGCATTATTTCATGTTAATTATACCCAGGTCAAATAGCATTTGCATACTATTAGTGTTTTGGAGGTTTAAACCGGCTAAGAGCAGGGTTGTCACGTCTGGTGTCTCGTCATGTCCTGATTACCAATTGTGTGCACCTGGGGTTCCCCTCCCTCTTGTGTTTAAATAGTCCTTGTTTCCCCTTGTCTGGTGCGGGGTCGTTCTTGTCTTCTTGCCTTGTCTCTTGTCCTTTCGTCCGTCGTCACCCCCACGCCAGGTTTGTTTCGTTATAGTTCTGCCACAGCCACAGTCATAGTCACGTTTTGTCATAGTCTTGTTAATCTTTATTTTGTTACTTTGTCATAGTTTTTCCACAGTCTTGTTTGCTTGCTTTGATACTTTGCCCACAGTTTGCCACAGCTTTGTTTTGTACTTTGTCTGGACATTCACCCTGTTTGTACAATAAACCTTGTTTCCCCTTCATTCCGCGACTGAGTCCTCCCTCAAGACCCACCTCCCTGACAAGGGTTTTCCTGGATTATAATACTTTCTCCAGTGTCAATTAGTTGGCAGTAAGTAAAGAATAAATTATTTTTCCAATTGTACCCCAGTGCTGTGTCTAATTTGGGGCACTAATTGCTTCGCTTGTCTGCCAAATGGCAAATTCAAATATCTTTCACCGTGGTAATAGTGTAATTTTAAGAAACACATATATTGATCAGTGTATTTTTAGCTGATAAGAATGAATCTGTCGTAAAAAAATATGTAATAAGCTCCTATGTACAGAGCATCATGAAGACCACACAAGCCAACAAAATGTGGGTCATTGTTTACCTTTTTTTTTTTTTACAATACACTAACCCTTACTGACATCGTTTAGTTGATATCCTTTGTTATATTCAAACATATCTACCAGGGAGCATCGCCCCCTGGTAGTAAACTATTTGGTAATGCATACTTTTTTGGAACTAAAAAATAAACCCTTTACATCATTACTGTCACTGCCATGGATGCCGCCTTTGCCCGTCATGGTACTCTTGACAACTACAAGGACTCCCTTTTTAAAGCATTACATATTCTCCTGCATTAACAAACATCGCACTGACTGACTGAGGTTGCAGATGGTGGCTAGTTCCTTTTCATAGTGGTAACCACTGCATGCGACTTTATCCAATGAGGAAGCAGGGGCTCTGCAAAGGTTATCACATCCTGTGCTACACCTGCTTGATCAGCGGGGTCACCAGGCAAAAAAGGCCACGGCAAATGAAAAATTAAAGATGATTTCAGTGAGTGACAGAGAAGCCCCTTTGATAAGCGGATATGTGTCTGGATAAACAGACTGACAGATGAACTGATGAATAATACACTAACAGACTCCATGAGTGAGATTGATTCCTCCTCAGATCAATACCTCTCATAGTTACCTTGATGTGAAAGTGGAGGTATCACCATTCAGAATCAGAGCACATCACAGTGCTCTCCAGGGAACTGAACTCTTCACTGTAAAGACTGGCTGAAATATTCAGAATTAGCCCTATTTAAATCAATGTTACAGGTTCTCCTTCCTCCAGTGGGCTTTTATATAAATCTTTGCACGCCGCGCGCCTTTTCATCCCTGTTCAAATTAAATCTCCAGGCAACCAGATCCACAGTTGTGTGAGTGTTTGTTTGGAGTTTGTTATTGACTTGTTAATGAAACACAAAAGTGAACAGCGTCTTGACTTGGGGAGAGCTGTCACACTGTCAAACTCAGTCTGTAACCCAGTAGAGAAACATCAAAACTCCAAATCCTCCAGTGACAGCCGATCACTGGTAAAGGCAGATGGAGATGGAAGGCCTGCTCCGCAAACAGGAGTGGGGAGTGATTTGAAGCATCAACAACGAAAACAAATACTCAATTAGCTGCTTGACAGTGGGCCTGCCCAACAATTTTGTCCACACTGATTTAATGAGTGTAAAGACTGCTCTGAAACAGGTCAGTAAAGGGCATAATATTGTAAATCTGTTCGCTCAGACGTTTCGGTCTATATTCTCTGTTCATATTCAGTTAACACAGTTGAGAAGACTTTGTGTAATCGTGTCTCATGTTATCCCTGCAAAATATTTTTCTCCTTTATGAACACTACCCGGTTTGTCAGCATTTGGATAGCAGGCAGAACATGTTCCAGCATTAAAGCCTGCACCGATTCCCCTGTCAGGCCATTGTTGCTTGTTAATTATTAGTATTTGTAGTCCACTCCTTTGATGGTGTTTTATTGGTGTCAGTCATTTGTGATCTTGATTTGATGTAAAGTTTAATTCAGAAGTTACTGAGTTGGATATTACCTCACATTTTCAGTGAAGTACTTTTATGGAAGTGCTTTTATTAGGGGGGCCACCCCTATTACTATTGTGCATATTTATTCCGCAACTTATAATAAAATACATAGTATTGTGATTTTATTTACATTTCAGACACTTTGTTGGAAGTGAGGCTGTAGATATTTTTTTGTTTAGGTACAGTCATTGCCAGTTTTCCCAAGCTGGGGTGTTTTTCACAAGTTGAAGTTGACCTTGCACTTGCTGTGTCACGAGGGACTTCCTGGTCCCTGAGCCAATGGATATTGCCAAGTTGGGACTGTAACTAAGCTCTGCTGTGCTGAACGCCTCTAGTGGCTAAAAGTCTAATGTACTCTTACCTATAATTTACGGTCCATTCAAACCCAGAGCGTATAGCTCAGTGAAGTCGAATCCTACTGTTCTGTTTAAGTTCTCAATCTACCTCCAACAAGAAGTGTGAGCCGCAGATGAACGTTTGGGCTGCGTTTTTAATTGAGAAATGTTTATTGTTGTGTTGTTTTTCAGTTCACCTGAGCAGCATGCACCGCAGGTCTCACAGCAGGTGTAGGTTTTCTGTCAGCTCAGATGAGGCATGGCCCCGCTGTGCTTGCTCCTGGCACAGTTCTGCTGCATTTGCAGTGATGTTTTTCTTCAGCAGAAGACTGTTCCCCAATTAAAGACCCTAAATCTGTGTTACTCAGCACAACAAAATGACTATCTACCGCTGAGCTGTCCACAGGGTGGGGCACTTAACTTCCTGAGAAAAGTTTAAGGATTGGTCTACATATTATCTATGCACCACAACAGCTGGATAAAAGTAGCTGCTTGTGATTATTTCCCGTCAGTCTAACGAAGGTGTTGTTACACATTTTATTTTTATTTTGGGAAAGCTTGATACAAATGACAACAACAAATTAAATGAAAAGTGTTCATAAAATCTTTGACAGTGTTCAGATATATAGGACTGTTTTTACCATCCAGTGAATTAAAAATAGCTGAAGTGCCTGTACCATTTAAAAAAATGTTGCAAGAGTGTCATTCATTTCCAAAGTTTGAATAAATGTCCAAATGTGAGGAAACCTTGACCATGAGAACTCCATTCTAATTAACAAGTGCCCATCTGTAGGTGAGTCAGACTGTTAGCATAACATTGTCGCTTTCCAGGAAGAGTGCACGGGTTTGAATTTTTTTATATTTACAAAAAGGATCCACAAACAAACCCTCTTAATAGTCCTGTCATGCTGATGGGAGTTAAAGCAAATCATCTCTTAGAATATAACCGTAAAGGTTTAAACATTTACACATAATTTAAATAAATATTCTGCTTTGTTTCATCATGTTTAAGTGATGAAATGTCGTATTTCACCAGGCACAGAGGCAGAGGGGCCGGTGGGCGCTGATAGATAGAGAGACTGCTGCACAGATACTGTGAACAGAGGAAATAAGCCAAGACCTGCCAAGCATACACAGACAGCACCAAGTCCCCAAATGACACAACATATGGGGAACAGCAAAAGAACTCTCCACCATTTTCCACCTGCCATCATCCCATCCTCTTTCTCTGCTACAAAGCAGCTCTGTGAAAAACAGGCACAAAGCTGTGAAAGAGAGCAGATTATTTGAAAAGCTATTTTTGATTCAATGGCAACCATGTTAAGTATCCTCAGAAGACATACAAAGTCACATTCCAATTCGTACAGAGAGATCCTACATTGCAAACTTCTAACTTTGAATTGTGAGTCAGTGAACCTTATTCGCATATAGCCTGCAGAATCAGATGGTGAAGTGATACCTGAATATTGGCTTTTAGAGGATAAGCTGTCAGAATGTAAAAGCGTTATTTGTGTTATTTTTTATTCCTGATTCAACAGATTCAGTTTATTGCCCTCTACAATAACGACCTATTCCTCATCAATAAAGCATAGGCCAATTACTAACCCGGCCATCTTCTTCCTACTCATTAAATCCACATTCTTTTGCAGGTCAAAAGGGAAACAATGGAAGGAATCTGTGACCTTGACTTTCTAGTGATGTCTTCTATAAAGACAGATTCAAACGAGAAAAAACTCCATTCTGGTTTCCTTGGTCGTGAAATAAATATTTGTCAGGACTTTAGTGAGATAGAGATGATGGAAGAATTGAGGCATGGCAGCTATCTCAGGATCACCAATCAGCATAAGAGCTGTCCATCTTTTTCAGTATCATCACCTCCGTCTGGCCTATTTCCCCATCTCCCCTTCCATCACAAAACTACTTGGTGCAGCCACAATGTAAAAGCCTCCAGAACTTAATTACCACCAATCTGTAGGGTGCATCCAGATGTGCAATCGATCAGACCAGTGTTACTCGCAGGCTGTGCAGCCATAGGCTTTGGCTGATTCACAGCCTGTCACAGCCGGCTAATACTCGCTCCTGGCCTCCCATTTATGACGCATTCAAAGCTGGATGGAGGTCCAAGTGGCTTCCTCCCTGCTGACTCGACCGCATGAGTTCACTTCATGAGATGCAGACAAAAACAATAGATTCATCCTTAAACCATACCTAAACCTGAACTGGGTTTCACAGATCTGCACAGATGGCCCGTTACATAACTATGCTTGTACCCTCAGCTGGCAGTTGATGTATTCAGTGTTAAAATGTGACACCGCAATGACCAATTACAGCATTCATCTCCAAAGTCTTTTGTGCGGTAGAAACTGCTGTCACCATCTGTCATCTCCCACAAAAACATGTAGCGAATAGCTTGTTGGAGGTGCATGGGACACACGGACACCAGCATGATAAGTGCCGGACAGACAGAAGTACTTGTTGGAGGTAGTTTTTCAAACCAAATGCATTTAAACTTTGTCTAAATGATTTTCAACAGCCAGATGTTGCTTCTGTTGAATTTAGTGCTGAAGCTCTCTTGCAAACAGGCATGAATATTCCAGGTTAAGGATGGTCATTTTATCCCCTGTTCACATTCACCATAGCAACCACATACTCAAATGAGGAAAACAACAAAGTGTGGATTTTACTGATAATCTGTGTTCTCTCAGTAATGACGTTTAACTCCTGACCTGCAAAGGGAGCATTTTTATGATACCATTTAGAAAACCTTACTCGATTATTAATATCTCTAATAAGCATCTTCATATTAAGATAAAGTCTGTTGCATCCTGCTGTGAAAGGAGATGTAACTATGTGGATAGCAGTTGTGCAGTGTAAGTCAGTGTTTCGAGTTAAAAGGTTTTCACACACAACCCTAAGACAATGTCTAGTGAGGTCAGTGCATGGTCTACTGTTGCCCACTCAAGTATGCATTCATAAACGGAAGAGACTAGTTTCGTAATGGAAACTAGTCTAGTGTGGTGCCTGGGTAAAGGATACAGAAGACAGGACATTATGCAAAAAGTGATTTCATTTTGAAACGGCAATGTTTCATGTACAGCACCACCAATCAACATTTCCATTCAAATGGCATTTCCTCTGGCCTGCAGAAAAAGGTCGGAAACAACATCCTTTGTGTACTCACTCACACAGTCATTTCACGTGAAACTGGGGACAAAAGAGGGAAAAAAGCCCACAAAGCCAGACCAATATACAATGGAGCTGGAGCAACTCACCAGGGAGGCGACCAGGAGGCATCCTAATGAGATGCCTGAGCCACCTCCACTGGTTCCTCTCAACGTGGAGGAGCATTCGGTTCTACTCTGAGCCCCTACCGGATAGCTGAGCCTATAAACCTATCTCCCAGCAATCCTGCGGAGGAAGCCCATTTCAGCCGCTTGTATCCGCGAACCCGTTTTTTCCGTCACTGCCCAAAGTTCATGACCATAAATAAGGGTAGACCAATAATTCAAGAGCTTCGTTTTTAAGATCAGCTTAAAACCCAGATCCCCAGGCCCTGGTCCTCCAATAGAAGAGCCGGTATTGGGATTGAGAAGGTCTTCAAAGTGCTCTGCCCACCGACCCATAACGTCATGAGTTGAGTTCAACAGCACACCATCCCCATTCTAAACAGTTTTGTTGGAGCACCGCTTCCCCCCCTGAGACGCCACATGGTGGACCAGGATCGTCTCAAAGCTGTACGGAAGTCTTTTTCCATGGCTTCCCCAAACTCCTGCCAGGCCCAACTTTTTTACCTCAGCAAACACCCGCATGCCGGCTTGGACTGCCGATCACCACTGGCTGCCTCTGGAGTCCCACGGGCCAGTGGGCCTAATTGGGCCATTCCACTGAACCACAACCTCCATGTCATGCTCTCATTACCTCAGGAGCATTGAAGTCCCCCAGCACAACAAGAGAGTCCCCAGGAGGGGCACCCACCAACACCCCCTCTACAGACTCCAAAAAGGGTGGTTAATCTGGACTATTGTTGTTATCTTAAGACAGTAAAATTCCTAATAAGGCTGCTTATCTGTCTGTTGCAATATAGCTACTGCCTCATGACAGATGACAGATTTAAACTCAAGAAATTATTAACTCGACAGTTTCCACGATTAGTACTATTCGCCAAGACAAATATTATTAAGGAGGGGTTTGGTTGTTGTTCTTAAACTCCTAACATTCAAGTGTGAAATCAGTGATTCATTTCCTGTCTCACATCCTCTTTCTATACTCCACTGATTGCTTAAGTTGAGCTCCCACCCATCAATGGTTAGGGTAAGGGTAGGATTAAAAGTACATAATTATGATATAAACAAAAATGTAAATGTAAAAGTTAGAGAAAACATTATACATTGACAGGATAAATAAGATTCAGAGTTTAATGTAGAACAGGTCAGCCAATTTCACAGAGCCCAAGTAGTCATTAGTATGCTTCTTATACAAAGACATTTCCTAATAAAACACACAATTCATCATGTACAAAAATCATGTATGATGGTTGTGCAGTAGAGTGGCTAAACTGAATTTGTTAGAAGCTTTGACAAAGCTTCGCAGTACAGTAATCTCTCTCTTATACCTTTTGCTCATATTAGAAATACCTTATTGTTCGCTTCTTCAGAACAAAAAAATGTTCTGTGGTCCCTTTATCCTGTTAATGTGAACAAGGTTCTGAGTTCAAAGTCTGGCTAAAGCCAAGCTGTTAAATTGTAGGTCTGTATAATTATTCATGGTTACACATGGGAGTGTAAATAGCTGCTTGGCATGTAAAGTTTAATAATATTATGACTTATAAAGGAATATAGTGTTAATGCACAGAAAAATAATTCACATACATGGGTAAAACTTTCAGTCCCTTATAAAAATACAACTTTTCAACAAATTAACTGTCCCGAAAATAAATATAAGGGCTTCTGGCTTTTAAACTAAAACTTTTATATTAGTAGACATGCATGTGTTCAGAATCACTGCAGTTTATGAAAGAAGATGTAGCCCCGTATGAGTCAAACCCAATCTGTTTTTTCACTGTTTCATTTACAGAGGAGATGGGCACATGTTTTCAGGGAGATGCTTAGAAAATTATTACAGGGGATTGCTTGCATTACCTTAACAGGAAAGACTGCAAACACAACACCAGTGTCGGTTCATGATCGCTCCCTTCTTTTCTTTCTGCTGACTGGCCTGTTTGATTTTCTTGGCCTGTTTAGATCCAGGCATAACTAATTAATCCCTGATACTGAGCTGAGAGATGGCTGTGGACAGCACCACGCAAAGTGAAATCCACAGCACTGAAATGAAGCCTGACAGGTGACTGTGTTCCCAGTACAAGCCGTTGTGCGTGCACAGCATCCACACACAAGGGGCATTCGTGTGGGATATCACAAGCTATATTTGCTGACTTCTCCCTTTTCCTAATTGGTATAGAATTTAAAGGACCCATCCTGAAAGTGTCATTGTTAATTATAGTTTAGTCTTCACTGCATTTTGTTGTTGCTTATTTTTCTTACTTTGGAAGGCTTGGAGAGAAAGACAGATTGCAAGCAGCAACAGCCTACATTCAGTTAGTGAAAACATGAGAAGGACAGGCTCCAGAAAAGGCTAAATTAATTGTTGTCTCAAGTCGCAGGCTCAGCATGCCTCATGCAGGCATGACTCTGTAATGAATGTTGTATGTACAGGAGATGAATGGAAAAGCCTTGCTAATTTAGGAATGCAGAGACAAAGGGTTTGCTTCCTGTTGTACACAATCTGTGATTGCAATGCCAGTTGTGGCCAGATCTTTTTAGGTGTTACTGTTGCTCTTTGCACATGCATGAGTGTGTTCACCTTCTCCTTTCCCCCACTCCCTTCTGATTGATATTTATGTTTGAGAGACAGCATGTGACTTAGAGCTCAAACAGTTCAGTATCTGCTGTAAGTGGTAAGAGGAGGAAAAAGGAAAAAGCAATTAAAAAAGCAAAAAATAGAATGAGAAGAAGCTGTAGTTCAATAAGACACTGATTTCAAATATGGACTTTTATCCCCTGTTGAAGAGTTACTTTTTGTGATTTGTTTCCTGTGATCGAACTCAAGATGGACGGATGTTTTCTGTCTGAGGTATAATATTTGATTTGTTTTCAGTATTATTGTGCATGTAGAACATTAGTTCATGGGATTAGCTAAACTTTTCATTTGACACTATATAAACAGAGTTTAAACAGTTATTCCAATTTAAATATAGATTATATTAGACATCAGTTCAAACTGTTTTTAAGTGGTATTTTGCGCATTTCAGTGACACTTATCATCTTTTAGCATATTGAAGTCTCAGTAGCATCGAATTTCATCTCATTTCCTACCTTTTGTATTCACTAAACTGCCACCAGCTATCCTCCTGGTAAGGACCACTAAAATGGAACAAATAGCAATGTGTAAATATCAGCTTTGAAAAGCATGGGTTACAACACTGCTTTGATATCAGTGTCTACACATTGTAATGTTGTCGAATGCTCCACGAAAATAAAATCTTTGAGAGTTCATCATTGTCTTAAACTTTCAACCACAGGTTTTGGTGACATTTCCCTAGCATGAAAAAAGGAGTACACCAAACCATGTCAGAGATTGCAGCACGGCATATGTTCTCATGCTTTATTTTCGTCTCGACTCATACATACGAACACGCGGGCTCGCGCACGCACGCCTACACACAACCACTGGAAAGGCACTCTGGTAAACGTTGTTTACTGATACACGGATTGGGTTTGAGAGCGGAACGCTGAGCATTTCAATCTAAACTGTAAACACTCTTAATTGGATTGTGTGCTTTGATGTGAATCCTCTAAAGACTGTATATTATTCAGCCTAATTGATTCTGATACATATTTACACAAGTTTAGAAAATTATCTCACAACAAATGTGAGCAACTTCATCACAGACATAATGGGGGGGTGGGGGGCTCGTGTGCCCCCTTTTGGTTATAATAGCACCACTGGACATTTGAGGTGTCAGAGTTAAATTGGTCAGACAGAAAGGCTGCTCAGCTCATGTCTACCTCTGGTGGGAATGACACTGCAGGCCTTCTGCTCATCACAAATGAGGCCCAGAGGAGGTGATGGGAACCTATTGAGAGGGCTCATCATCAACCTCAGATTAAGAGGTGGAGCTGTGATCCTCTGTCGCTGACCTTGTGTAACCTCACCTCCCTCCTGAGGGTACGTGTCAGGCAATTTAACATACACATGAGGCACGAGTCTGTTTCAGAGTGACAAGAAATGTCAAGTAACGCCAGGCCGATGCAATCACTTTCCTGACAGACACACCACCGCTACAGTGTGTGAGAGAGAGTGAGCGAGTGGTTCAGGTTCTACAGGTATGGGCTTTCCACAGATGTCAATAGGTCACATGGCAAGTTCAAAACACATGTAGTCCATCTTTCACAATAGATAGATTGTACTGTAGGTGCAGATAAAGGTTAGAGCCGCTAGTTGATTGAGGGTTGGTGTCACTTTTTGGCGTCACATTACTCTTACTGGATAAGAATGTGGCTGGAAAATAACAAAAGCTCCTTTTCCAAGGGCCCATTCACATCCTTGGTCTCACATCACGGGCATTTTGTATTCCATCACTTGCCATGCTGCACTTTAAATAAAGCTCAGGCCTATTAATTACAAAAGTATGGGTTCAGGGTAAAGGTGAACACGCAATTACAGAATTGAATCAAGCCCTGGTTTGCTTGTCAGTCCTGACAGAAATAATTTGGGTGAATTATTAAATGTCCAATGCCCTCAGCAGCTTCTTTGTCTCTATATTTAGCCACAAGAATCCAACCTCTGTACTTTTATCTCTAAAGTAAGAAAGTCATTTTGGCTTTTATAGAAAATAGTTGTGACCTATGCATGTTTATTCAAACAAATTAATTTAAAAAAATGGTTATTGTGTATGTACGCCTACACGTGTTCTCTGTGTTCTGTGAACCTCTAAATTGAAGAGGTCAGGCTTAATGAGATCATTTTGAATTTGTTGCGGTTATGGTAATCGTGCGGAAATTGTATGTCATTATCATTCTTTTAGGTCCACTGAATTAGAAACTTTAATTAGCTACCTGTTCTGAAAATATAAAGATCTGAGGTGATATTACACCGGCGCAAAATTGATCAAATTAGACATCAAAGGAATTTTCCAAAGGCTTTACAAACTTTTTTTCCACTGCGTCTACAGAAAGCACTGAAAAATTGCGAGCGTGCGCAAAATTGCTCGGAGCCTCAATGTTTGCCGGATTCACAGAACCATCCTTAAATCTGTGCTTCACTTCTCTTAAATGAGAAAAAAAAAATCTTAATAGCTTGGTGTGTTGAATTTAGTTGCAAGCACACATTTTAACTCATTATCTGAAATTAGGCAGTCTTCATCATGTGACTGAATTTAGAGCTTTGGGTTTGGTCTCTATGGCAACCAGCTGTCTGTAATTAGTAAATCAAGCCAGGGTGAGGATTTAGGCAGTCCGAGTTGCTGCAAAAGAAGTCAACAGGGAGAATCGTTTTTTACAGGTTTGGGCTGTCATGACACGTGCTGACATAGCTGCAGAAATGTATCCACTTCTTTTTTTTTTTCTCAGGTATTTTGAAGTTGATTTAAATATATCTTTTGCCACTCAAAGCTGTGCTGCAACTGTGTGCCTTAATGTGTTTTTTTTTTTTTTGTCTTTTGCAGCACGGCTCTACTCCGTTCTGTGTCAGCTGGGGGTTCTTATTGTGCTCAAACAGCAAGAGGTATGGTGTGTGCTCTCATTAACCCTGCTTTCTTATATTTTTGTCTTTTTGTTTTCACCTCTTATGTATGTTATCCTTCAGCCTGGGCAGCTGCTTTGGGGTTGGACTATCCTGGAGATCATGGAGCCCCAGACCTCTCTGGACTAGCTCCTGGTATATTGCATCCAAAAATGTTCCACTCTAAAGAAATGGCTGCAACTGATCCCATTCCTGACTACCAACACAGTCAGCCAGGAGGAGGTTCCTTTGACTCAATAAATGAGCATCCTCATCCCCGGGCCTCTGATGGATTCCCGCTGATTGATGCCTTTCAAGCACCAGTTTCAAGTGACTCCAAAACTAACAAACTGCTCCGTTCTTATGGAGGACCATTGTATGGTAATGGGGGCTCTGGTTCTGAACAGGTCAAGCATGTTGCTCTTCTACCACTAGTTGAGGCCCCCAGTCCATCTGACCAGGTGGATCTGGATCCTAGAGGTCATAAGCCCCTCTCCCTCAACTACGATAAGTATGACCCTACTGTTGAGTCTGCCCAAAATAGTTTGGGCATATTTCTGCATGAAGTTCCCCATAGCAGGGGTGATGCTGCTCACCAAGGTGGACAAACTGTTAATGGACCTCTTGGAAAAAGGGTCAGGGGAAAGCTTTCTAGTCCTAGATATAGTACATGGAAGATTATTAGGTATCCTGCCCATCTTCAGCCCAGAGGTGTCATTGTCAAACCATTTTTTCAAGGTAAAGGTGCTCTTAAACATTTGAGGAAACCTAAATAAAGTCATTTTCATCCCAGTCTGACTCGAGGCTAGCTTGAGCTGAATTAGGAGGCGAACCTATTAAAATATGAAGAAACTCTTTAAGAATCTGTTTTGCCTTTTTATTTTCCCCGTCTCATAAATGGGTTCTGAAGTCTGGATGATACCAGAGTGCCATCTGTTGGTCCCAATGGGAAGAGATTGTTTTGGCTGAAATGGGGTTTTTAACAGGTGCTATCCAACAGAAGGTCAGTGCTTGACAAATTCTGTGGTCTGTTTACAATCTGCTGTTTGCAATCACTACTAGTGGTTTTTGGTCTTTTTAGTGACTCCGTGTCTCACTGCAGTCTGGGATCTTTAATAGAGGAAAATGAACTGTTAAATGTGGCTTTACATTTCTGCAACCTTCTCTAGAAATGTAATCCTGTGATTTGTTATAAAAAAAGAATTCAGGGAAAGTGACCAGAATCATGTTTTCTCCTCCATCTTTATATTTTCTCTTTGCACAAGATTAATAGATGAATAGCATCTCTCTTTAGCCTCTGGCTTTGATTGCTCACTGAAAGAGTGGCAGAAACAGTTGGTGGGTAAGGTTATCCACCAATCGACCCCATAAATCAATCAATCTGGAGCCAGAGAGTGAATCTGTTATGAGCAGTCACTTGGAACAGGCGTGAGGAAATGAGTGGGAGAACAAAGTAAAGCAATCAACTGTATGTGGAGAAGGAAGGAAGGCAATTGAAAGTAGCCATACATCATAAAGGGCACTGGGCTGGGGAGAGCACTAGGATTATTCAGAAGCTGCCAGCTGTAAGTTAGAACTGATGTTGGGCTCAATTTAAAACATAGTAAATCTTAGAGGTATTTTGATCTCACAATCTCAACTAAAAACCTTTCCAACGCGGGTTTCATGTGAAATGTTTGACTGTACCACTTTACCCTTGATCAATATCTTTGTATGCGTGCATAGATAAAAGCTAGCTAAAATTGAACAGTGTAAAGGTTTGAAAAAGTGACCACTGAACACCAGTGGTTATTTGATGTTGCTGAAAATTGCTAGTACTTATTTGCCATCTTTAACTAAATCAAGGGAATTCAATCAAGAATTTTAGCTACTAATCTATAATTGCACATTTCGTTTAGAGGTTATACTCCATGGTGGTGTTTGGACATTTAACGACCCCACATACAGGAAATGACCACAAAAATCTGCATTGCTATGCTACTGCATTCATACCATGAGCACATTCACCTCTGATACACATGCGTGTGTGTGTGTGTCTAAAAATATACAAAACTCATGACTTCCTTTATTTATAGCTTTTCTCAAAAATAGTTCATTAAGTGTTCTTTAAGAATTGTAAATGAGATCAGTGTTAAACAGCTCTGTGAAGTAGCCATGTTAGCAGCAATCTAGGGCACATTTAACAAAGAGCAACAGCAAATAATAGATACCGCTGCAGACCACAGAGTCACAAGCTTTACTAGCAGGCATAGTCCTTTACCTGTTGTAATTTTTATCTTTGAGCTAAGCTTTGGTCTTCTGGTTTGGCACACTGCGAGTGTTTCTATGCTGCTATCCTGCATAACAGCATTGTTCTTGCTTTTTACCTTTCAGAAAACTGAAGATTTAGACTGAAACAAAGTTAATGCTCATGGTTTTGAGGAACTACTGGTTCAGTAGTCATAGAACCCTGAACTGTGAACACAATCAGATCTTATGCTGCCAAAAGTATCTGGTAAATTCTGACACAGTATATATTCAGCAGTGCAGAAAACCAAATGTCTTTTTGCAAGGTTGAAATAAATGTTTGCTTGTTTGATTTTTCTTTGTTTTTCTTAAGCTTTTAGCCATCATCACAAGCACAACACCACACAAAACAGCATTTTAGATGATATATTTTCCAAAAGCATCACAACAATTGTAAAATCAAAGAAATCTGTCAACAGATAACACTTTTAAAAAAAACATCTGAAACAAACGTTCCACACATTTCATGGGAAAAAAACAAAAGATAAAAAAGCATTACATTACATTTCAGTTCTGGAGTTCTTGCTTTCATGTCATACCCTGTGTAAAATAGTTGTTGCTGGTTCTTCAACATCTCCAAACTTACCACACTTTAATAAAAAATGGATTGTGTCCTGCATGTGTTGCAGTTGGCATGCTACAACACACATCTCTTTTAAGCAATGCTCTCCGTTGCACTTTGTGTTAGCTCAGAGAATATGGTGGTTAACAAGGATGAGTTTAAGTGCCTGTGTGATTTGTAATGTGTGTATTTTCTTCTCAAGTTTCTGTGGCCCTCCGCATGTCCTACTCGAGGCTGGTAGTGAACCCACCATCGCCTGACAGAACAACTGACCTGTGGTAAGGGGGAAATCAATAGTCAATTCCATTTTGCAGCTAGCGTGTGACAGATACTAGATAGGAGGGGATTGGGTGCATGTAAGGAGCAGGAGCGTGAGTCCGAGCTTGTCCAACTCTCTGCCCTCTCTCTTTCGCAATCACACGGGGATTCACATAAGCACTCGACCAAACCTTATAATGGACATGTAGAAAATCAAAAGAGGTCGCTTGTAAGTCTCGGAACCCAAAGAGACACAAAGATGGGTACATTTTGAATTCATTTTTCAACTCAGACTCCTAAAGTAAACCATATTGTGGTGTCCTTAAATGCTATCGATCACCGTTCATACCTCATTGGGAATATAGATTTATCCCCTGAATGTTATCAAAAAGCGCTTTCATCTGTACCACATTTTATGCTCGTACTGTTGTCAGAAGCTTATATTTCCACATTGTCTACACGTTATACATAGTGGGTGCTATGTTAAGAATAGCAGAATAGCAGTGACACTTCACCCCATTAACTTGACAACAGTGTTTAAGTAAAGTAACAGTTCTGGACATGCAAGTTATTTTTGCCATTTATATATTAAATTAATTGATAGCGTAAGATGGAGTATTTTCCATATTGATCTGAAGTTTTTCTTCGGTCACTTCTCCTTTTGTTGATAGATTCTCTCCTTCACTCAGAGGATGACCAGTAATTTTGCAAAACCTTGGCTTTTCCTCACAATCCGTACCAGTTATGCCATGGTATATGCTTCAGTCACTTTGGTGATTCCAGCATATCCACATGAGTATTTTCAGCCATTGAATCTCCCTGATAAAGACTTCTTTTCACTCAATAATGGGTTGAACTTTGATAGAAGTGATGCCACATCAAATAATGGTTACTGAAATAATTAAGCCAAAAGGAAAAGTATGGCAAAGTAAATAAAGTATTCTTGATGCGCATCCACACAGTCTTACAAGTAATGAGACAAACATCTGACACATTTAGAATGCTTAGTGTGTTCAAAGAATATAGCTTGAGTAAAATTAGGATGAGCAACCAACAATGTTGTGACCTGTCTTTTTCATCTCACAGGTCAAAATAGAAATGCTCAGCAATCCTTCCATCACATTAAAACATGTAAAATGACAATCATGGATTTTTAAAAAAAGTTAATTCTTGATGAATTACATAATGTGTAAGTGTAAGTACAGAAAATAATGACAGGCCAGAGTGAAATTAAATGTAAGACTTGAACATCTGAGGGCCAACAGTCATGATTAGCCGAAGACTTGACTGCAGTAATTTGGATTTTGGTTAACTACAGTCATTTTCTGCAGAGCAGGAGAATGATTTGAAATCATATTTCCAGCAGTGATGGATTTGGGGTTAACAGAACCTCTAATATGAATCTGAAGAGGAGACAGCATTCTATTAAATACAGTACAAGAACAGTAATCAAACCTAGCAAAGCTTCATCAGTTCAGCCGAGCTTGAGGGGCCCTCAGCTAATTTTACTGCTCACTGAAACATCGCATGTAATACCCAGTGGAGAGAGAACACTTTGTTCATTACTGCTGATTAGGAAATAAGATCAAGCAAAATATGTCAACTCATGATAACCGGTTAATGTGTTTTTAATTAGTGTCAGCTTTTCTCCTCTCCCGCTCATTCCTGTTGAAAAACCCACCACTGCATGCATTTAATTCCTCATCCAGCTGCCTCTTGATGAGGAGTTAGCCTCCATTATGATTTTGAGGGCAGCCGAGTGACCGAGCAGAGATGCAGCTGTTAGATTAAAAGTTGAGTGGGTGAACTCAGTGGCGTCCCTCGCTCACTGTTTGAAATGAAGCCCCATCCATAGGATCATTTTACGATTTAATAAGCTAATAAACGTGATACGGCAACTAGTTTCGAGTGCCCTTGGGGGGGTCAAGGCACAGCTTACAATCCCATTTAAGAGCTTGTTCTATTATCATGCTGACAAAGGCTCAGACAGGCTCAGAGAGAGAAAGATGAATACATTCGGAAGCAGCCTTGGTGATACAGCAAATTTGCTTCTTCAAAGGTCATTCTCAACACAGAGGGGTCAATCAAAACCAGAATTATCACATTGTTAAAGGAAGAAGCTTTTCTGGACTTTGTAGTTACAGGCGATGTGACTGCTGCCTCGTGAGTGACTTCTTTAGTGAAATGAAATGTACTTCTGTCCTGCCATCCAATCAGATGGCATAGCTTATTTGTTACTTAGAAATGTATATTTAATCATTATAAATCGTGTTTATATAAACTCCATAAAATCTATAGGTAATCTTAAAAAAACCTTAAAAAGTGTCATTTTGTTCATTCTTTTGAGCACTGAATACCTCTATGTTTTCTTTCCCGCAGCAGGGCACCATCAGTCATTTGTTCCTTCCTGGAAAAAAAGCGAAGTTTCGCGAATTCAAAACAAGGATGTTGGTTTTGCAGCTCAGCTAACGCACACACGCACGACTCCTCCAATCTGAGCCGCTTTGAGTCTCACCGTTTCATCTGGTGCTATCAGGGCTGATGAGAGCCTCTTGTCTTTCTGGGTCTGCTACAGCTGCTGTGTGGTGAGTGGCAAGCCTCTCTGATGACTCTCCTTTATCTTCACATCAAGCAATTTGCTGCTCTTTTCATTTTGATCCTTGTGCCAGATTGAAAAGGAAAACTTCACAAAAGTTGTTTGCGAGTGACTCAGGTTATAAGCTTTAACAGTTGGATTGGCAGTTCAAACTAATTAAACCTAAAATGTATTACATTTTCTAGCCACCATGTGCTATTTATCAACCTTTGTAGTTTACTTTTATGTTTAATTCTTCTTGTGGCTGCAAAGCCACTTTGAATATCCAAAAGGAAAGTGAAAATGATCTATTTAAAGAGAAAGTACTTGGGCCTCTATCTTTAATTACTCAAAGCTGTAAAGCATTCAACCGTTTTGGAGCTTAAACATTCACATGAACGCATTTTGTCAGCGGCTTTATCATGGGCCCGTGATTCATGTCGGGGAGTCACTGCTGAGTTGACAGAACACTGAAAAAATAGAGGATATGAAACAGATTTCCCTCATACTTCTTGGATTTCTGGAGCTTTGAAAGTTTTCTAACGCCCAATGTTGTTTTCTGTGTCCTAACTGGGGTCCAAACCCACAAAAAAAAACTGCTATCCAAATTCTTCATTTAAAACACACTCCCTGCTGTGAGAAATAAGCCCTAAAAGGGGAAGTAGTTGCGAGTTTGTCATAACACTGTGTGAAGGATATTGCTAAATCCTGAAAGTAGGCGTTATGTAAACCCCAGCAGCAACGGGAAAGGAAATGTACCACCACAAATGATTTCTTCATACATAGTAATGTGACACACAAGCATATTTCAACAAAGTTTTACGCACATGTGTATGCATTCGGCGCATAATTACCCAATACAAAAGGAACGGGCATTTTTATTTGCCCACTTTGTTTTAATTGCTTTCTTGATTTTTGTTGGATTTTTTTTTTTTTTTCATATGTCACATTGCGTTTGTTGTAGAAATACACTCCACATTTAATTCTCCTCACCACTCAGTCGCTTCTCACTCTCTTTCTGAGTTGCCTTTTGTCACAGCCGTAGGCAATTACCATTAGTGGTGAGCAGAAATTCCACAAAAAAAAAAGCAAAGGCTGGGGAAAAATGGAAGCCTTTTTGCCCACTGCTGATAAGAGACACAGGAGAATTTCCATTTCCCTTCTACAGAACCACAAACCAAACATTCAGTTAATGTGCACAGAGAGCAGAGATCTGACAGTTTGACACAAATAATACAATTTATCAGTAATAGTCCCTTGACTCATGCCGTTGTTTCAGATTGATGGTCAGGTCCGAAAATTATAAAAAATACTGTGGTAGACCAAAAATCTTTGGATGTCTGTTACCAAACCATTTCGATTCCCTTCATCTGACTACAGATTTCCATTGAGTGTCTTTGTCATAAAGATATAGATTCTCTCATACATTTCAGACATATCATATATTTGCCTGAGGGAAAGTGGACTACATATGTTTAAGCTCATCACCAGACTCCACATGTAAAACTTGGAGAGAATGTTACCAGACAACAGGAAGTGTCATGATGCCGTGGTCTCAGTTGCAAGTCCTACGTATGTTAGTGTTGAGCAGACATGTCTGTGTGAAAGGAATCTCTTTCTACCTAGAGAAATCAGTAAGGATCATCAGTCAAGGATAAGACAGGAGTGCTTTTCATCTCACACAGTCAGTATGCATATTTACTTTAGATATATTAAGTGATAAGATACAATCTTGATTCATCAACTTGATAGAGGGAGATTGATGGTAAAGATGTAACATTATTAAGATATTAGTTTAGATTTAATACATTTAATAATTCTAAACGCTTCAGTAAACTCTTTTTTAATTATTTGATTGTATTCTGCTATATCTATATACAGCTCTGTTTTCATGGTAAAAGCGAATTCAGAAAATGGCAAACAATGAACAATTTTGCTTTTTTGTGTCATCTTGTTCAGTTTTGTAGTAGTTTTTGCCATGTGTTTTTTTCTGATTGTAAGCAACTGTATTAAACCTAAAAGATTATAATGTAAAATCATTTTTCGACTCTCATTAAATATCGGTGGTCCTTTTCTGATGTTTTATTTTAGACATCAGATCACGCTTAAAATATTCTTTTGTTGAACAGTTTTTGCCAGCTCTTCTTGTCTTGGTTGTGCTCTGTGTTCATTCTGTTCATCAGCTTTAATTCAATGTCTTATATGAACAAGTTATATAGTAATTACTTTTTAATTTATTTTTAAACTGACTCAAAGGAAAAACAAAACAGTTTTTATATACTTTTCACTTCATAATGAACAACTGTGAAAAAAAGTTGTGCTTTCAAAAATCAAATATTGCAGTAAAATGCATTTGTTTGTTGTTGGGTTTTTATTTGTTGTTTCATTTTTCATTTTTATTACTGTTGCCTTTATTTAGTTGACTAAAGGAGAAGATTTCAATATTCTCTGTCTTTTTCCCGAACAGAGACACGATCATGCTGCATCTTGTTGATGGTACTGCAGAAGGCAACAACCAGATCTGAATGAAATTTAAACATCCATGATTGTGTAATGGTGAGTTTTCTGAATTTAATATAAGTTTAATCGAAGTTGTGTCTGCAATGTGGCATCCTAACTTAACCTTTCATTTTAAGAGCACTTTGTTGACTAAAACTAATAATACAATAAAAATTTGAGGACAGAATTTTAATATGATTTCTACCTGCTCCAAGGATTTTATAAAGTATATCTCCTGTTAAGCCTAAGCATGAGATGGTCCCATAAGTGCTGATCTCAATCATTTTGTCGAGGCCATTGCGCATGAACTCTACAAACAAAGGCAGAAAACCTTTTCTTTTCTAGATGGAGAAATGTAAAGTGTTCAAACAGAGATGTCGATCATTTATGGAGCTCAGTCTCACACACTATTAAAAACCATGCTAACCCCTGATTCCTCCCTCATATGACAAAATGTGCTGCTTGGAAAAGAATGGCAAGTCAAAAATTGTTGATTTTGATAGGGCATGAATGTTTGCAATTTAATACGAATGTTTTTCAATTTTCACACCCAGTAGGTTCTGCATGATGATATCCACATGGGTGTCAGTGACTGCCATGCTGGTGGCATTAATGAATGGAGTGAGGACTGGTGAGTTTGGCATGAAGACTCATGATCCTTTTCAGTATCCAAGGTTTAAAGTAGCTTTTTCTGTTTTTAGAGGATAACACACAGCCGTGTGCAAAGGTGCACACGTCCAGATCAGTGGTGCCACTGGGGTCACCTGTCACAGCCACCTGTGTCATCAGAGATGACTGCCCCCTGGTCATTGGACAAGCTGTTCATATCGAGTGGCGCCTTGGCGATCGCTTAATTCCCAGTAGCCCCGCGGTCAATGAGAGTGACAGGGTCTCCCGAGCTGTTGTTGCAAGCTTCAATCACACCAGGGCCGTTCTCACTTGCTGTATCCAGGCATCCAATCAAGTGGTCGCAGGAGTGGAGATCCGAGCTGGATGTGAGGAAGAGCTTCAGTTATTTTATCTCTTGTTACTTTATTTTTACTTGTTATTTCAGTGAGGGTAAAAACATAAGTGGTTTAATGGAGCTCAGCATAACAAACAAACAAAAACAAAAAAAGAATTGAATACAAACCAGCTTAAACAAGATTTAAAAAGCCTAAGGGATCAGTATTAGAAACACAGATGTGTGAACAGTAATGTGTTTTAGAAGATGTAGCAGATATTATAAGAATGCATCACGAGAAAGGATGAGGAACTTTTTGGATTTGATTTATCATAAAGATGCTTTGTCTAAATATTGATGTCCAAAACTATATTGCTAAAATAAACTAAATACTGAATGCTGAAACTTCCACATAATTCCAATTTGAATATCAAGAATACTTGCTCCTAATGATGACAGAATGATCAAATCCTCATCCAGATTCACCAGAATCACCACGAAACCTCAGCTGTCAGACGAACCTCACTAGCCCGATCACCCTGACCTGTAGCTGGACCCCTGGACAGCACGACACCCATCTTCCCACAAACTACAGCCTCCACACTGAGATATGGTAACCGTGCACATGTATCCACAAATGCACCAAAACCATTGCAAAATATCTGTTGTTTTCAGGAATGCTTAATGTGGCATTTGTGAAATACATCTGAGCTTGCATAACCCTGTTTCCCACACTCTGATTTCATCATTTCAGGGATTCAAGCAAGAACCACACTTATGAGCCACCATCAGGAGTCCACCACTATACTATCCCTCGCTCCGACTTCATTCTCTTCTCTGAAATGAAAATATATGTCAAGGCTAAAAATTCACTTGGAGAGGCAACTTCAGCACCAGTTGTTCTGGAACCAGTTAGTGCAGGTGAGAATTTACATAAAGCAAAAACTCCTATTCTTCTGTTTAGAATTTACCTGCCATCATCTGCTTTTTAATAGGAGAAAAAATACACTTTCTTTATTATTGTTTCTGGGGAAAAAAGCCAAAAAATGATTGATACAAAGGATGAAACAATCCTTCTCTATTATTTACCGGAAGAGATATACAATATATAGTCTTTTCTTTTTTAAATCCAGATTATCAGAGCTGCCTTTAAGAATTATTGGAATACTTTAATCAATCAATCAAAATACTTTATTAATCCTTTTCCGGCATCCCATACAATGAAATTCAACTGTTCTCTGCTCTCTGTTCCTCTGCATTGTGCTTTCTTGTGCATGAACAAGAAAGAATACAAAGGAGAAAAATATCAATTTCATCTATTTTGATTTATTCTCTTTGTTATGTCAGCCAAGTTTGACCCGCCAAAGATCAGAGCAATTCAAGTGGTGCCTAAAAGGTTGGGATGCCTGAGGCTGAGCTGGAGTTTGTCCCAGCACCAGGTGTGGATGCGCAACTATCTGAATCTGGAAGTCCGGCTTAAGACTGCTGACAGCAGCAGTTGGAGTGAGAAGACAGTAAGTCCAAAGCAATCCACTGTTGTTATGAAGTGCAAAATCACAGTTAAAACTCATAGAGGAAAATAAAGCCCGCTTAAAGCTAACATTCAAGTCTCGAGTCACGTTTTCATGATCCTTCAGATCCTTTTGGACCAAATTAAACCATCCAAACCTGTGGTTCAGTGTCACCTCCTTCATGGGACCGTGTATTTGGCCCAGATCAGAGTCAGATACCAGCAGAGCCCCTGGAGTGAGTGGAGCAGCAGCCACTCTGGACTCACCTTGGAGAGTGGTAGGGCTGACATCAATTCAATGTGACACAATCAGTCATTCTCACTCTTCCCAATCTATTGCCTTTTATATCTTTTTTGCTAGTCTTTTCAGTGTATGCAAATGTCATGTTCTGCCTCCCCCATCACTTTGCTCCATAGCCTAGGCTGATTTGAAGTGTTGAGTTTTATAACGCACTCTGGTAGAGAATCTACAGACCTGACTTGTATTGGAAAGGCTTACTTTCAAAGGCGTTAGCAGAGATGTTCAGGCTTTTGACAAGCTGCCATGTTGACAGTCATTTAATTTTTTCCAGCTCCTACTGGACGCTTAGACACATGGATTAAGGTATCAAGGGATAACACTCCCACACAACTCAACATACAGTTGTTCTGGAAGGTATGTATGTTACTGCTTGACACCTATCACAAAAATCTTCCGTTTTTTCTAAGAATTCTGGTGAAGTTCATGAGATCTGTTGTCAATAAATACTCTGTTTTTTCCTTTTTCCATGTCATCTCAGGCATCAAAGCAATTCAGAGCAAACAGCCAAAACGTATCATACGTCATCTTCCTGCATAAACAGCCGAATAAAAAGAGTAAACTCTGCTCTACAAGTGACAATTATTGCACTTTCACAGTTTCTAAGAGAGCAAGGAAAGTGTATTTGAGTGCTTTGAACAGGGCCGGGAAATCCTTGCCCACTGACGTTCGTATTTACCAACCAAAAGGTAACTGATACCTTTAAAAAAAAAAAAAAGATACATCTATGTATTTCCTTTATATTTCTGCCCTTTTTTTCTTTTTCTCTTACTCTTTCTTTGCTTTCTCTCTTCTTTGAAATCCCCTGTCATGCTTGGCATCAGACTGTACATAATACCTTAACAGCAATAAATAAATCAACAAGGGCTGGGCTTTACGAGATGCTTTTGAGGTATAAAACCTCCCTTGGTGAAGTAAATGTGCTTGGCATATCCATAGAGTCCAGAGCACCTTTCAGCAGTGACACATTAATATAGATTGGAAAATGATTGAAGGAAGATTTTGACTAAAAAACACCCCACTTTTTGTGTCATCCCAGTAGCTCAGTCTGCAGTAAAAGACGTCAAGGCTGTACCTCATGACAGCAGATCACTCCTGGTCCAGTGGACAAGTTTGGTCAGCTCAGATCTAACTGGTTACGTGGTGGAATGGAGACCTTTGTTAAAAGCCGACCTCTCCCACATTCACTTTGAAACAGTGGCCAAAAACCAGTCTAGCTTCATCATAACAGGTAAATCTGTAACACTTGTAGTACAATTTGAGGGATTCGTGTAGTTCCTATTCTACCAAACCTATTTGATCTTTCTAATCAGGTGATCATCCTATACAACAAGAATTCAAACAATTGTTTTTTCTGCGCACAGCCCACCTGTACAAACCATTTAAACCTCGCGGCCACTGATCCACTCTAATCTCTTTGCTCTCATCAATAGGCAACTTTGAGCCATACAAACCCTATGGGGTCTCAGTATATCCTAGGTTTGAGGATGGAATTGGTTTTCCTCAGACCGTTAATGCCTACCTAAAACAAAAGGGTAAGTCACCAACGACATAAAGAGGATCACATAAAGAGCTAGTTGAGATGCAGTGGTTTCTCTGCCTCTGAGATGTGAGCAAAGCGTCGGCATGGACTGAAACTCTCAGGGAACGGATTATATGTGATGAAATTATGCCCTCTTGTGGAAAGAAGTGAATGATTGGTTTTGCTATTCTGCGGTAATCAAGATATCAGCTGCGTAAAATGTAATGATTGTTTTCTTCTTTTAAAGCTCCAGACATAGTTCCTAAAATTAAAATAAAAAATACCTGGGGGTCTCAGGTTGAGTTTAGCTGGGATGAAATACCTTTAAACCAAATGAATGGAATCATCCAGGGCTACAAAGTATTTTACTGGAACGGGAAGAATCCAGTTAAAGGTATGTTGAAAATAATAAAGATTTCATACAACCATTTTCATTACTTTATGCTTCCTAATAATTGATTCATCTTTCAGTTGTGAGCGTAGGCCCAGAAGAGAGAAAGCTGATCCTGGAAAACCTCAACACCATGACTGTGTACGAAGCAATAATGATGGTTACCACATGTGGTGGGAGCCTCAATGGGACAATAATTCACTTTCAAGTCCAGCCTTTCGGTTGGTAATCCATTATCATTTGGCTATTTGTAAAATCAGATATGAAGAAAATATGTACTTCTGGACATCATGGCTACGATTTTTTTTTCACAGATGCAGTAACCGTTGGTATGATTGTCATAGCATCTGGCGTTGGATTGGCTGTCTTTATCATTTTCACCTTCATGACTTGTTTTTCCAAAAAGAAAAGGTAAAGTCCATGCTAACATGTCTCAAAAATAAGACGCTGTAAGATCTTTTACACTCAGCATGTTATTTGTTCCTTTTCCCCAAGGCTGAAGGGTCACTTATGGCCTCTTGTTCCGGATCCAGCAAACAGCAGCGTCAAGAGATGGACATCAGAATCACTTCAGGTGTAGAAAAATGACATCCACTACAGTTTTTTGGTAGCAACAAACCAATCAATATGCATAAAGTAAAAGGACTTATCCTAAACAGAATAGATTATAGAAGGAATATAGTATTTTTTTCACTCTTGTCATTCCAAAATGTTTGATATAGTAACATTTTTCATTATTCAATGTGATCATTGACTTAGTATTCAGTGTTGCCTTGCTTTTTTAAAATCTGTCTACATATTTCTTTTTCATGTCTTTTGAATGAGAATGTTTAATTATGAATGGCTCTCCGTTGTGAGTGTTGAGGTGTATTCAGTATCAGTATCCTGCTATAGCTGACTCTAGTGTTTGAATTATTAGTAAAAAATTGCACTAAACATAAGACAAATTTCTGTTCACAGCATAGGTGAGAAATTTGTTGTCACCCCGTTAGGCTTTTGTTCTAATTTACTCACCGAATAAAAAAAATGACTGACTTGTTATCTTTTTGCAGTATGCCCATCCTTCTTGGAACAATGAGGAACCAAATCCAAAATGTTTGTCCCACCTCAGCCTCCTGGACCTCACAACAAAGCCAATCAAAGGGATGGATGATCTTTGGTTGAACAGAACAGAGGACACCAGTGATCTAGCCAAGTCAATTTGTGGTTCGCCATTCATACCTGGATACAATGGTTCAAACAGCAACTCTGTTCCTTATGCCACTGTGATCTTCTCTGCTCCATTCAACAATCCACCACCTATGGAGCGTCCTGTCTATCTACGCTCTGAATCCACACAGCCCCTATTAGAAATGGAGGAATCTTTCAGTCCAAAGTCCTACCAGAATATGGTCACAGATGGAAAGCCAGTTGAGCAGTGTTTTTTTGGGCCAGACCATGATTGTATCCCTGAAAAAGGGTTAGACCCGGCCGATCTTTGGCATGACTTTCCTTTTCTGCAAGCCTTAGCCATGAAGGAATCTGAAGATTACTTTGAAGATTACTAGTGCTCTGCTGATTTGGCCTGGTATTGATTTACGGTCATGTTAGTAAGTTTTAGAAAGATTACTAAGCATAGCTCACAGCTGTTTGATTTTTGATTTATGCTGAGAAATGTTGTTGCCTGAGTTTTCCTTTTATTACCTTTTATAAATGCTGCATTCAAAAATAAACTTTTGCTGTACAGGGCTTTCGTAATGTTTGAATTATGTGAACTTTCTCTCTTTTACTTCAGTCTTATTTGCATTGAGTCAAATGAGTTGTTTGGTGTCAGAAATGTGAGTGTTTTCAATATACAAACACTCATATTTCATGTGAACTTCTAATGCTCCCCATTCCAACAGTGTGGTACAAACAGTTTTTTTTTCCATGGCAGGTAAAGGTATGGTCTGCCTGTGTTTACATCTAACTTTCTTGTGCTTATATTGACTGATTGTTTAACAAGCCTCATGATGAATCAATCAAAAAGTGTAAGCCAGACATTGACCGAGTGAAGCTGGGTGTGTATTATTTGTTTTCACATGAGCAACAGAATAAAACTTTGTTCACTTGAAATGTACAATTATGTGGTATTTTCATACTGTAGTTTATTGGTCAAGTACTTTCTAATGTAGGTATAATAGAATAGTCCACTATGAATTGGCCATTTAAAGCCAAGAGGATGTTATTGAAGTAAAACAAAAAAAACACTTTTTTGCATTGCTTCTTATGAAGAAATATCTGTGTAACCCAAAGTGCTATTCTCCTTTAAAATTATTAGAAAGGACAAATACACATTAGCCTATAAATTAGGAATTAAATAGAAAATCAAAATATAATTTTGCTATTCAAATAAATTATTATTTGTAATTATTATTAAAAACAACAGATTATTCCAATTTAAAACAGCCAAACAGGAATTTACTCGTCCTCAAACTCTCGCATCGATGTGATCTGGGATTGTTTGCCTTTTAAAAGACACATCGACGCTCAGCTAGTGGAGTCTAACCAAAATGGCGGACCTCATGTAGGGGTCGAGTGTGGTTATATAGAGAATTTTCAGCCCCTCTGTTGAAATTAATTTAAATTGCGACCTTTAATAAGAAACATGATCACCAACATTGGCCTGCGGGCCATTCTGAAGTCCTCGGTTGGCGTTTTACGCGAATGCTCCGCGGTGGCAGTCAAACCCTGGACGTGTAACTCTGCGTTAGTGTCAGGACTGACAGCCAGCAGAGGTAAGGATGAGGACTAATGATGATACACGGTATAATTATGATTAATCAGTTTCACCCGCTAAGTCTTCTCTATTCCGCATTTTATAGTTTTCCCTCCTGTCCAAACTCACCTCTTGTATTTTAACTGCAATGCAACAACGACAGATGTTGACTTGTATTCATAATTTGAATCCAGACAATACACATTTGCATTAGTAGTCTTATTATATTTCTGTGTAGTCGTGATTGGAGTGCATTGACACTGACTGCATTATACACTCATTAACCCTTTATGGTGAGGATTCACGCAGTTAGAATATAAACACATGAACAACCTTAACCCATAGAAAACTGTACACTTTTATGCGCATGCGTTTATCAACATTACAGAACTCTGGAGCCCCCTTAATTTTTTAAATTTTTTTCAGTAAAATTGAAAAAAAAAGGAGAACAAGTATATTTTATTCCAAATGTATGCTAACATTAATTCAAGCACAGCACATAAAGCAAAGACTGGAGTGTACAAGTCTGCATGTAAGCATATGAGCATGTTCCTGTGTTGTGAAGACTTGTCTGTCAGTCACTATTCATCTGCTTTAGAAAGGTGTGTAGGCCTGCCACTTCCTCTCTTGCACACTATCATTTCATTATAGTTAAACATGACATGGTTGTATTTTTCACACATGCAGCTAAAGAAGTGTGTGCTGAGTTATAATGTTCATTCTTAAAATAAATCCTCAAGATAAATATTAGGAGATGGCAGCTTTTAACAGCACTAGAGTAACAGCTTAGAATCTGGTAAAAACACACAATAGTCTAGAGCAGTAAAGGATATGAGTAAATACTCAACAGGAAATTAACTGACACGCAACTTCAGCAACATGTTTGTCTCCAAACAAATCTGATGTCATGTTGGAAACATGCGGTGAATGCAACCTATGATTACAAAAAAGGTTAAATATTCAAATCCTTTACAAGTACATTTGGGGATTACATTATAAACAAAGTAAATATCTGTGCAGTCACTTGTTTGATCAAGAAACAAATACAAACTACCTGCTAAAAACAGGAACCACAGAAAAAAAATCTTCTCTCCCTACACAGTTATTTATATTTTAGGAACTTTTACTCATCATTATTGATCTAATAAAGTCGTTATATGAGAGAAAGCTTTGCTAATGTTTTTATTTGAAAACTTTAAAAAATGCCAAACTGACATAAATCTTTAAGAATGATAGTTTTAGTATTAAATGGGACCTGCTTATGCAGACTTCCCCTGCATTTCTCTATCTACTGCATCTAATGCAATGTTTGCTGAAAACCACAGGAGCTGATACGTTTCATAAGCAGGTCTGCCCAGGAAGAGCTTTACAACAAAGCACTTTCTGCACAGATCCATAATAACTCGTGCAAATAAGCAAAGATCTTATTCATTCTAATCAAAACCGAATTCAGTCATTGTCATTGTATAATGCAAAATATGAACGCGTAGAGTAAAATGCTCCCATGGGTAAGGAGCTCCTAGAGCTAAGTGGACTGTTGAATTTGTGGCTTAAAATCTCATAAAGAGGAAACAAGTATGTTGAAGATATTACCTCATTTGCTATTTTGTCGATATTGAAAACCACTGTCCTCCCACCATCTGATAAGTGACTCTGCAGGGTTTTATCTGAAGTACAGGACAGCCATATTGCATAAAGGATCTTGGCTGTTTTCTGGAGTCAGTCACGTAGTTTGAAGTGACAGAGTAGCTAGTTATCTTGCTTCACGAGTCTCCTTGCAGAAAATAGGTGCTGCAGTGGGGAAACAGTATGATTTTGGATTCTGTTGGCACACACATTTCAGAGAAATGGGAAGTATTTTGTCATGCTATATTTGTGTTTCAAGTATTAATGAGAAAAAAAACCCTCAAATGCATTTTTCTCAAAAGTGGGCCGACTGCCTGGATAGAGACTAAACACGTTCCACCCACCCTTTTAAGGCTGTGACACACAAGGCAGCAGGCAGCTATCTGTGAGTGTGTTTTGCCCCCAGTTGCAGTTTGACCTGTTGGTGATTCACTTTCAGCATAAGGACACTTGGCCAACAGGCCTTTTGTTGCTGTTGGTTGGTTTGTAGGATAATCAGAAAATGCTGTCATATAACTCAGAAGTTGTTTTGTATTTATTCATCTACTGTTCAGGCGCCAGCTCTTGCGCCTCATCTAAGTGCTAAAAATGTCAATAACTGACTTGCATACACAGAATGGGTTTTGATGTTTCCTTTCTTCCACTGTTACAGGAAGCTTTGCTGTTCCACAACCAGTAAGACATTATGCTCGGGTTGCAAAAAAACGGAAGACAGGTATTTATTTTCATTGCCAAATGATCTTTCCAAATGTTTGCTACAAGGTATATTTTCATCTGAGTGTTTTTCTTTCCCCCAGGTCCTGAAAGCCAGCTCAGCGATCTCCCTCCAACAATGCTGAAGATGGATTATGCAGCTGTCCCTCTTGCTCAGACGTAAACAAAACCTCTCTTTAAAACAATAAACAGATGAAAATTTCCAGTTGAGTGTGTGATGCATCCAGTTAATGATCTGATGATCATGTTGTCTTCTTATAGGACGGATGAAATTGTCAAACGTCTTCTTTCACTGGAGCTGGCAAGTCATGTAAGAACTTCTGTTTCGACAACAAATTTCCTCCATTTTACTTGTAATGCTTTCAAAACTGCCACTTCCAGTCTGTTTGTCAATGCGCGTCTGTCAGGTGGTCATGTAACATGAGCGACTGATAACACTGGTAATGTTCTTCTTCAGAAGGAAAAGCTGCAGCTGAAGAAGGAACAGCTGATTGCAAAAGTTCAGAGGGATGAAAGTGATCGCAGCTCAGTGGAAGTCCAGGGTGAGCTGCCCCTCGTTAACCTTGCACGTGCCTCAAGTCAAAACCCAAACACACAGATCCCATATCATGCATGAGGCCTGAATTCCTTTTTCTAATCTTTCCCTTTTCAGTGGCCATTTTGACGGCGAGAATTCGAAACTATCAGGAGCATTTGCAGAAACACCACAAGGTGAGCCGAGGCAGAATTTTCCTCCCTTTGCACTAAACAAGAGCACTAATTCTTTACGCAAGCTTCATAAAGAATTACGTAATGGCTGAATGATTGTAGCCACAGGAGCTTTCATATCAGAGTAAATTTCCTCTTGGTCTCGCTCTGATGTGAGACATGCATGTGCTACAGGATATCCTGTGTACTCCTCCACATGAAACCACCGTGGTTGGAAGTTTCCGTGTTACGTCATGCCCTAAAAGAGCTGTATTGAAATTTAGAGATGAAGAACATAGGTGCTGGCTTTAAAAGTAGAGGTTTCTTAGTTTTATTTGTAGCAGTCACCTCGTAAACAAATAATTGTGTGGAGTCTTTGTCTACTTTATCCTGCTATAAGTCCATATGTATAACATTGTTCCTTGTGTTTCCTGCCAGGACAAAGCTAATAAGAGGTGGATGCTCATGGCCATGGACCGCAGGAAAAAGCTTCTGAAAAACCTTAGGTTGGTTCGCTATGATGCCTTTGAGAAAGTGTGTGAGCAGCTGGGCATTAGCTACAGCTTCCCCCCAGAGTACTACAGACGGGCCACCCGCCGCTGGCAGGCCAAGAAAGAATTCTGCACAAAGGTAACAAACAAATGCCATCGTTAGTTTGTTCCCAGTTACACCTTCCATGCGTAGCAGCGTGATCTTTTTAAACTTTCATTGCTTTTTAAAATACCAAGAAGACCTAGACAAAGTTTTAACATTAACAAACATAATTAAAAGGGGTATGCTTAAGCGATTCAGGGTGTTATTTCACACCCAACCTAACACTTGACATGTGCGTCTGATTGCAGGTGTTCAAGGCTGTGCAGAAGCAGAAAGCAGAGCAGAGACTGAAGATGAAGCAGAACTTCAGCACCACAGAGATAGCGGAGCCCAAGAAAGCAGCAGTTTAAACACAACAATAGATAAGATTCTGTCAAAATGCCTGTCTTATTGAACCCGTTTAGTTTACTTTTTTTCACTTTCAAATATTGAAATGTGGCATCTAAACAAGTTCCTTTTATGTAATCTGTCACCATCTTACTATATTTCCTTTTGTTTTCAGATTGATGTCACTATTGCCTAAAATAAAAATAAAACATCTCAAAGTTATTTCTATGAACTGTGAGAATTTTCTGCTTTTAAAATGTGAGACACAAACCTCTTTGCATAGATTTATTCAGGTGAAGAAGTGGATTTACCAGATTTTATTTTTTAAATACATAAACACAGTTGTCACTTGTTGACATCATTCTAATTGTAGCTGTGACTCTGGTACATTTTCAGTTTCCTGGTGTCAAAGGTAACACTCCTGTTGATAAAAGCTACTGACAAAGTGACCAGAATGTGACCGGTAAAGATGTGTCCAACGTTTGAGTTTACATTTTTCCCATTGAAGGCCATTTCAAGATCAATAACGGACCAAGAATTAAGTTAATGAACCACTTTAGCATGAGTTATTCAAGGTTTCTCAACTAGTTATGTGAGGAAGCTTCCTGCATGTGTTGAAAGTGTTTTTTGTACTGGTACTTCATTCGGGCATGTTACAAACTGAACAAATTGTGTAGATGCATGCAGTTTTATGCTGGCTGAGATCCTGGGTGAATTCTGCTCTTGCAACCAAATGCAATCACACGCTACGCTTGTTAAAACCTCAAGCCGTATGACGCGGGACGTGATGCATTTGTGGGTGTCAAACGAAAAGTGTGGCCTAAATGATTTGGGTTCCTTGAACTGGGTTTATCTGATAGGAGCCCTGAGAAAGCTTGAATTCGTAGGATCAACCAGACACATGTCTTCAGCAGCTGATTTGTAATTAGCAAATGTCTCAAAGAAACTTCTCATGAATTGGCCCAGTTTGATTCACCTCAGATCTTTGTCATGAGCAGCAGTTTGGTAGCAAACCAGCGTTTTGCGGCTTGAGTTCGTCACAGTTTCCTGTGTGTCGCACAGCTTGTCAGTTTGATCAGAGGGTGTTCAGACTCGCAGACACTTCTGGTAAGTGACATGTTTGTTTCCTCTAGCAGTAAATCAATATTTTCATTTCTCTTTAAAAAGGTCTTCTTGAACTAATCTTTTTATGTATGATCTTTGCAAATCCTGACAGAGGAATTGTATATTTCTTTACAATGTTTTATCTCTTAATATTCATGTCCGTTTGTGGGAATCTGCCTTCTGTTATAGCTCGTTATTATTTTATTTTTTTCCAATTTCATTCTGTGGCTGTAAAATTAACCTTAAACTAATTAGTATTTCAATGTATTATCTAATTAACATGCACAGTGCTGCATATCTGATGACCAAATTTCAGTTTTCGTCCTGGGAGAAATACCAGAGAATATTATTTTCTGAGAATCTGTGGTGGAGAAGTTGGAAGCAATTAACTTTAGTAATCAGCTACATCTTGAGTGTGAAAATCACAGAGGTCTTAAAGAACACAAAAGCAGTCTATTTTAAGTTGAAGAGACCAAACACGAGGCTTTTCTCCCCACATTTCAGGTGATGAAGTGAAAGTCCAACATGTTCATTTTCTCGATTAAGCTCAACAATCTACACACTCAACGATGTGCTCACAGCTGAATGTGTTCTTCACAAGGCAGGTAAATAAAAACCAGCAGATCGAGTGGTCCAAATGTCGAACCCAGTGGTCACCCACCAACCTGGAGCAGGCGGCTATGGAACAAATGTCCAAACGGGGGAGTGGAGCACGGGTTTGTGCTCCTGCTGCAGCGACTGCTTGATCTGTGAGTGGAATCTCCTGATCTTTTCGCCTACCAGACACATGCTTGTGAGGTTAAGTACTGTCTGAAAGACCTTGTTTTCTCCTGTCTAAAACATCTTTTGTTGTTCAGGTGCCCTTGGGTTTTTCTGTCCACTCGCACTCAGCTGCTACACAGCGAATAAATATGGAGAAAACTGCTGTTTGGGTTGTGTGCCTGGAGGCATGACAGCTATGAGGACTCACATGAGACTGACTTATGGTATTCAGGTATGTTGTGTTTCATGTGTTACAATCCCCTCTCTAATGTAGAAAGCTTAGATTTGAGGAAGATAAGAGATGATGGGTGTATCCCGAGGTTGAGAAATCTGCATTGCAGAACATTTCTCGACACAAAGCTGGTGTTCAGTTGTGAGAACTTTTGTTGCAATCTTTTTCCCCACAGGGAACTATATGCAATGACGCCCTGATGACCTTTTTCTGTGGACTTTGCGAAATGTGCAGGATGGCACGAGAAGTCCGCATCAGGAACGGAGACATTTCACTGTAACAAGATGTTTGCTAATGCCCAGCTGTGAAAGTACTCTGTTTATTTCTGGAGCCAAGCCTGTGAAATTGCAAGTTCAGCCAAATGAATGTGTACATTTCTTTCTGTCTGACATACATCAGATTGACAACAAATTGCGTAGGCTAAAAGTTTGTCTTACTGTAAATAAACTGCATTATGTAGACTCCTTAAAATTACAGTCTGAGTTATTACATTTTGTTCAGTACCTTTTGCCCCACTTTAATGTGATGACTTGTATATCAACTCCAAAACAGAAAGGTTTGTCATCAGATATTGACCTGACAAAAGTAAACTGTTCGGAAAACAAGTCAACTGCTAACTGTAAAAAAGAAGATGGAGGTTGCACATGGCTTCTGGATTAAATAGTTTTGGGCAAATATATAACAGGTTATATAACAGATAGCCCTGCTATCTACCTGCTGCTACATTGGGAAAATCTGTCCGGGTTTGCAGCAGTGCACGCCACATTTAAAGTGATATAAGCTTTAATAACAGTCTCTTAACCACCCATCAATCCTCAGAAAGCTCAGTGCGTTGCTCCAAACAAATACAAGTACAATGCTGTAAATTTACATGGAAATCTTATAACTATATAATCAAAGTAACTAAACTAAGTAACCTTAGTTACTGAGTAACTAAACTATAGTGCATATCCAACACGCTCACTGCAAATGAGCGATTCACACATCAGGTTTGACTCATCTTACTCATGAGAAATTGTGGTCCAGATGATACCTCTTCTTTCAGGAACTGCCACAGAGTCTGCAATCTTGCTGTCTGTTGGCTTGTTTGCCTTTGATCTGGTTGTGTAAAGATCCAAAAAGAGATACAATTTGTGTAAAAGCACAATTTGAATGTCAGTCAACAATGTTTCAAATGGTTTCATATCTGGATGATGGTCTCAGACGTTTTTTACTGTTTGATGTAGACATTTTCTTGAAATATAAAGGTCAACTTAAATGACCACTTAATCCTTTTCACCAAAAGTCCCAGGGGATGTAAGTTATTGACTTGGTATGTTATTGTTTCGCTTTACAAAGCTTTCGTGTTTCTTATTTCTGCAGTATCTGCTCAAAAAATGTAAATAACTAAAACTGACATTCAATAAATAGCTACAATAGGAGTTTTTATTTTAATTTGATTGCTCTATAAGCTTTCTCTTTTTATTCACAAAAGTAATACCCAGATACCCAAACACTTTAATCTGACATCAAGAACTTTTGTGTTATTGATACCTAGACTGAGTCAAATTCCATAAGGAAATGTCATGAATTAAGATATGCCTCCTGAAGTTGGCCCATGCAGCTACATCTGATAAACATCCGTTTCTCTCATGAAACACTTAAACTGAGGAAACCAAGAATCAAACCACCAAAATTTCAACAGGTGAGCTCAACTTCCTAAGCAACATACACCCCAAATATCTATTGGGCCTTTTTTTAAAATAACCCTCCCAAAACTGCATACTCTTTTAATTCTTTAAGGTTTTTCCAGTTCAAAAATAAAAACTGATGGCAGCAGAATAATGTATCTCTTTCGGCTTTAAAACATTAATCCATAAACTAGTCCGTAATGACAACATTGCTATGTCCAACTAAAATGATCACCTGTGGTTGAACTACGGCTCTTGTAGTGTTTAAATGAAATGTCACATTTCTTAAATATAAATTTAACCTGACCTAATTAAGGAATATGTTCCATGAGAACACTTTCAACATTCATTTTGTCTTTAAAGATATTCAAAATGCCTTTGCCACAAATTTTTAAAACAGGGTGAGAAAAACAAATAGCTGAATGCTTGTATTTTTTGGCCCAAAGTAATAGCCATGTCGTTTTTCTGATGAGTGTTTTTGTTTTCTATCATCACTGCCTCCTTTTTCTTGTGCCTCTTATTCATTACACTGAACAGTCAGATAGACTGACTGATTGTCAGCTTGATGAATAGTGATGGTAAAACAGCCCTACAGCAAATTCTTCAACTGATTATTAACCTATACACCTAAATGATATGCAAATAAATTCAAATGAATAAATAATTAAAACCCAAAGATCTCAAATAAACTTTTTTTTAAAATTCCTTTAAGGAATTGTACATGCATCGAAGAGCAGTTATGTCAAAACGGGTCTTAACATATGATGGCATTTGCCTCAATTCCTTATAATTGCTAAAGAGATTAACCTAATTTATGGTCTGGATCTTAGGTGCCATAGTACAAATAGCACTGTACGTCTTTGACAGTGTGCATAAAAACACACAAACAAGCATGCTTGTTCACCGTCACATTAGAATAATCAGCCAAACTAACAAGGAAGAATTTGATGTTTGTAGTTTGAAAGCCCACGTACGCACTGGGCGGTGTAAACATCCCCTAGCGAAAGCCCAGCTGGGATTCAAACCTGGAGCCTTATTGACGAGAGAGAAATTTCAGAAGTGGGGGGATAATACTCTAGTTAAAGTTTATTAAACGCTGTAAACTCACTCAAAAGACTTGATTTGAGCTACACTCGTATAGTACATGTTGTTATGTGACGTCACCTACGTCGCTGCGATGTGATTGGCTGCTTCTTTCGTGGCCTGGCAACCAGAACAGGCTTTATTAAACAACCCCCTCCACCAGCAATCAGGTTGCTACGTGCGCTAGTTGTTTGAATATTCTATCAAGGTTCAACTCTTCAAACGCCATCATGTCTGCAAGAACTCTGCCGCTGCTTTTTATAAATCTCGGCGGTGAAATGCTGTACATCCTGGACCAGCGGCTTCGAGCTCAGAATATACCCGCCGACAAGGCAAAGAAAGGTAGCTAGCTAGCAGCTATTTAGCTTACAACACAAATGTCACCCCTTGCATTTGAACGTTCATCAAACAAAACTTTTCCTGTGGTGCATGGGCGAGTTTCTGTGGTTTGTGCAACTTTGTCACCACATGTGAAGGGTTCATGTTGCTAAATTATTTAAATGCATTTTCATTCCCATTCAAGGCTTCATAGGACGACATGGTTGCAAGCTCAGACCAGTTGTCAATGTATTATTAGTGTAACTTTGCTGATAATTCATGGAATCTGCCCTTTAGGGACTTTCTTAAAGGGCGAGAAAATACTTATTCAACAAGATATTTTCTGATGTCTGGGGATGTAAGCTAATACATTTCCAAGACGCAAGTTAATTTATGTATCTTTTTTATTTTAATTGATGAAGTCTCTACAATAGCTGCCTGGATAGAGGAAGACAGAAAGAGAGGTATCACGAAAAATCCAGTCATTGCTTAAGCATTAGTAGTTTTCTTGCTGCTTTGACCAAGCTTGTATCAATGCGCTGCATTAAAAATGATATATGATATATGGAGGCTTTAGACCGGATTGCAGGTAATCCTCAACACCAGTACTTGTACTTGGCTTAGAAATACAAGTAAGCACAAGTTGCTAACTTACTTAGGGCCTTTAATATATAGCCCTAATATATGTCAGTTTTTGAGTGACTGATAAAAAAAAATATATTCAAGGATAACTGCAAACTATATTTTAAGTGCCATACAATTCATCTTCTGACTTTGTACTTAAAAAAAATATTCACCTGGTTTTCTGCAAGATACCTTTCTCCTAGATCATCTCTTTCATCTTCAGCATCACCACCAAGAGTGCCGTTTTCTCTTAATTTGTTATTGTCTTTTTGGGTAAGTTCAGCTAGTGTAAATCCTGAATATCTAAAAGTTTGATTTTTAGGTTAGTTTCTCATAATATAAGATCCTGAGGAGTCACTGTACTTATGCATAAAACCAATATCAGCAAAATGCTCATTCAAAACTAAAGCATTGCTGATGTGGCTGTAGAGTTGCGACCAAGTAGGAGAATGCTAATGTCTCACCATGCTGCTGCTTCATCGGGTCCTTTGGGGTTAAGGTCTGGATTAACTGTTGTGGCTAAGGGATAGCAAAGAGTGCTCATCAGCCTGCTTCTGAGCTTGCAATGTAGAATATTCATTTGTGTAACTTCAGCTAATTTTTTTGCGAACTTTTCTTTTGCATTGGTTGTTCTGACCAGTTATGAATGACATCATCACCACTATGTTCAACAAAAAGTTCCTGGAGGAGCTTTTCAAGCCACAGGAGCTTTATTCCAAGAAGGCCCTGCGGACTGTGTTTGACAGGCTGGCACATGCATCCATTATGAGACTCAATCAAGCTAGTATGGACAAGGCAAGTCTTTTTCATAAGTGTATGTGTCAGATAAATCTATTATTGAGTAGCCATTTCTATCAATAATTTCCTGTAAAGTTGCAGTTGTTTTTCCTTGTATTTTATAACCCTTGCGTAAATGCTTATATATAATGCAGGACAACCGCACTGCAGTGCAGTTGTAATGCAGTGCAAGAGGCTCCCTCTGCTGTTTATAATACAAAAGCAGCAACGGTCTCATTTTTGACTGGTGAATCAATGAGGTTTTGTTTCCGTGTCTTTTGACAGCTTTACGACTTGATGACCATGGCTTTCAAATATCAGGTGCTTCTCTGCCCCAGACCAAAGGACATCCTTCTTGTCTCCTTCAACCACATGGATGCGATTAAAGACTTTGTGAAAGATACCCCCAGCATTCTCGGTCAGGTTGATGAAACTTACCAACAGCTCATCGAGGTGTGGGACGTTGCTGTCTTCATGTTTGTAACTTACTCTTTTTTTGTTATTTTTCTGCTGGGCATTGCCGTGTTGAAAGGTTCACAAAATTGTGTAACCATTTTTCAAGGTCTAAAATGACATTCAGTTGTGTTTGGGGGGCAAAAATGCTTACTTATTATTAAGAGACTGATGTTGCTCACTGAACTGGTGTGCACTGTGAGTCACTGCTTTTCCACTGTAAATTAACAAAAACAATGTGGTTCTTTTCACTCAAATAAAAATTAGTGTTACAAAATTGTAAAGGCTCAAATATCACACCATTACAACTGAGACAGAAAAGCCATCTGTTCTAACTGCATTTGGAATGCTAGAATAACTAGACGTTTTCAGTATTAACATCTAAACTGATGCAGCTGTGTAAGGAAATTCAATTTGAAAAACAATTTTACTGCTATTTTATATTTGAATGATTATTTGGTATCAGTGTTTCCTGGGTTTTGCACTCACCAGTGTGTTTGTGTGTGCAGTTTGAGTTCTAATTTTTCTTCCATCACATCACTTCAGAATAATTTTCTGTTATTTCTCTTCACTCCTTAGATGTATACACCTCTGTCTAATGGTGAATTCCAGCTGATTAGACAAACTCTTCTCATCTTTTTTCAAGACATGCATATAAGGGTAAGTCTGTTGCTTCTCCCAAGAGGACTTTTTATTTTTTTGTTATCTATGCTATATTTTCCCTCTTTTTCTTTCTTTATGTGTCAGGTTTCAATTTTCCTAAAAGACAAAGTACAGAGCTCAAATGGTCGATTTGTGCTCCCCACCTGTGGTCCTGTGCCACATGGAACACAAGTTCCTGGTTTAATAAGGTACAACTGTACACGTCTCTCAGGCCTAACATTTCACTCTACACTTCCCTTCAATCACTCCAACAATATGTAATCTTGTGTGTTTTGCTATTTCATATATTCTGTGAGCCATCATCCCCAAACAATGCATCCTGATTTTAAGTAGGTCAGTGTGTGAAGTTATTTAAACAAGCACTTGACTTCTAATTTTAGATAAGTTGCATGTTATCTAGTAAGAGATTGTATCACCTGGAGTCCAACTTCATCTTAAGAAGATTTATCTGATCTTTTTTTTTTTAAAGTTTTAAAATGTTCTGTAAACAAAAAAAAAATGTTTTAAGCTTTTTTTCCTGTCTGTGTGGATGACTGCTCCTTTCAGGATTTTTAGTTGTTCTGGTGATGAGCTAACAAGGCAGAAGTTCAATAATGGAGGAAACTACAACTCCCCGCTTCGAGAAGGATCTTTTGACATTTTTGGAGATAGGATCACAAAACTTGGCACAAACATGTAAGACTAACATCACCTAAAGTTTTTATGCTCTCACAGTCAGATTTTGAGTGAGGTTGAAGTCATTTAGGTCAAGAGATGTTTGAAGCTGAGAATTAAGAGCAGGAATAAGAGTTAACATGTAGTTTTAAAGGTTAATACATATTATTATTATTATTATTATTTAAAGTTTTAAGCTTTTATTATTACCATATATATTTCTACATATACTCATCTGTGTGTATACACGCTTAATGTATTTTTTGTTTTTCTTCCTTTTTCATTCAGGTACAGTGTAAGCCGACCTGTGGAAACTCATATGTCCGGTACATCTAAAAATTCCGCACAGCACACAAAGGTAACACATTAATAACTTTAAGATAAGCTAAATGTAATCAATTCTGAACATGCAGACATTGTTCGGACATATTTTTCATCTGTTCAGAACTACAGATGCACAATATGATGGCGTGACGTGACTGGCGTAGAGCTGTCCTTATTTACTGATAAACAACAGGTTTATCAACAGATGTATTGAACTGAACAAATCTTTTTGGTGTCAACAGGTCAACGCTGCTCCGAACCCTTTGGCCAAAGAAGAGCTGAATCTGTTGGCCAGATTAATGGGAGGCTTGGATGTTCAGAAACCAGGAAATACTGACAGCGGCTTCCGAGTAAACCTCTTTGCCACAGACGAGGAAGAGGAGTGAGTGTCCTAAAATATGCAGTCCAACACTTAAGAAAAGTCTAAATGAAATCAGACTGTCAAACATCTGTTGCATGTGAGGAAAAAAAACATAGTTTAGAATTTTTTTGTAAATAATTCAAACTAAATTTCTCTTTTAACACAGAGAAGCTTTAATATCAAGACCTGATGAGCTTTCCTATGGAGTGATAAACATCCAAGCAACAAAGGTATGCAACGCGTTCTGTCCATACACAGGTTTTGTATGTAATCATTATATGTATTGAGGAAATGAGGGGGCAGCTTTTTAATCTGATGGCAGTCACATAATAAAATAGTTTGAAAATCGTAGAGCTGCTCAACCACAGGACAACTTTATCCCAATTAATTAACCTCTCAGACAAGGTTTATTGATTCTAAGACTACTGTGGTACTGGCCTTGGTATTTGTTTTGTCTCTGAATATCAGATGGTTAGATTATGTTGTTCTCTATGCAGCACTGAAAGTCAACCTTCATGGCTCTGGAAGGTCTTGGAACTATAGTACTAAAATATAGTAGGACATTCAACTGCAGTATTTTTGGCAACAAAGCACAGATTAGATTAGAACAAATCTTTGACAGCCAGATTTAGCACTGTAATATCAGCCTTACAACTTATAGGCTCCTCCTAACTCTTGAGTAACACAGGATTTGACCACAGTTCAGCACACTACCGTCAATGATCAGGGATGTGAGACTTCGCTCATCTAATAGGATTTACTGTAATCAGACATAAGTCTGTGTGATTAACACTCCAACAGAGTGACTATTGGATAACATTGTCTTTCAGGACCAGCAGGCCAACCCAGAACTGGCCAAGATCATGGGAGAGTTCACAGAGTCTGGAGATCAATGTGACGGTGCCAGCAGCAAAGGAGACGACCTTTTGGCCATGATGGACGGCCTGTGACATGGTCAGTCATGACAAGAATGCTCAGGAAGGTTATCCACAGTGCGTCATCAACAGTCGAAACTACTGTAGATCAGTCTGCCGTCACGACCTCCAAATGCTCTGCAGAAACCTCATAAGCCCGTTCCTCCTTGGAGTACATTTAAGATGAGGATGTGATCAGATACAATACAGATTTGGTGAGAAAAGCTTTAACCTGTACAGGGGTTTGATAGTATGTTTGCTGTAAACATGGAGAGGTTTCAGTGCATACATGAGTATGATGAATATGTGTATGTGGTAATATCAAAGCATCTATTGGTATGTCAAGTTGCATTTTACCAGCATCTTAACTGTATGAAACATTCTTTCCACACAGTGTCATTTAATCCCTAATACCATAACATCCTGAAATTGGGATTTTTCCCCAATTTTTCCCTACTACATTTAGTGCACAGGGTAAAATGTGAGGCCAAATTCCTTCCAATAACATGTGATTAAATGATTCTGTGGGGAAAACAATAGAAAACCCAAGTGCTCTTGCTATTTTGGTTTCAGATCCCTTAAATGTTTTTATGTGTTTTGCTGAGACTGTGTTGTTCTACCTTAACTTTTAAAGAAGTATGCGTATCAACTCAAAAGCGTATGCTCCTACCCTGTGATGTCTATGCATGATGAGATAAGGGTGTGCTTCTTCTGGAGGACAGTGTTATAATACGGAGAAATGCAATATAAGACACAATCCATCCATCCATTTTCTGTACCCCTTTATCCAAGCAGGGCTGTGGGAAGGGTGGAGCCCATCCCAGCCGTCTTTCGGTGAAAGGCAGGGTACGTCCTGAACAGGTCACTAGTCCATGACGGGGTATAATACACTTTATAAAGTCAAAATATTTCTGTTGACAACTTTATTTATTGAATGTATCATTTTCTGTGTATAGAGAAATTCATATTGCTACAAATGCTAAATTATTGATTGTGAAATTTAGTATTTCTATTAAATAGATGAAAAATAAGTTATGTGTAATGTTTATGTGCCCGATTAAAAGAATAACTTGAATAGTGACGTAGTGAAGATGTTTTATAGCTGCAGCTTGCTGCAGACGGTAAGACCGAGCAGAAGAGGGAGCTCTCTAACCTTTATTTCTTGTTGTACATTTGTCTGAATACACAACATTTTGTATCTGCTACCACACCCTGTTCACTGAAAAGATAGTAAAAGTAAAACAAAATAGAAAAGTCCTCTTCATACCAAGCTTTTTTCTATTGTAAACTAATCTTGGAAAATCGTTAGCAACCCTAAAAGGACACATTACACCTCTGTTCATGGAGCTGCATGGGCTATCTGTCGTTACTCCTCTCAGATACAAAACTTACTGATGCTAGGACACAAAGTGACCTTTGGGTCTGCTTCCACTTTACCTCAGTACTCTCATGTAGATCCGGGTTAACCCTGGGTTCCTTCTTCCATCTTTCTCTAGCTATTTGTCCTTGCTCAAACTGCATTCAACTTACCTGAAGATCTGCTCTAACCCTCTGACAGACTCTTGGTGTTATAATTGTTTATGTTAACTGCTGTTTAAAATGTACACAATTCTCTTGAATCCTTGTAAGTGACGTTGGATAAAAATGGCGATTCTCCATCTCCAGCGCATACCCACAATGAGAATTGCCATGGTAACAGCAAAAAAGTAGAAAGAAAGATTTTTTTTGTGTATGGTCTGCCTACAGACAGGTCAAAGTGAGACTGCCTGCACTCCCCCAGTTAGCCACAGTCACACACATTACCCTGCATTCCGTGGAGGCAAACATGCTGAGACATTTCTCTGAATTGATCCAAGGGAGGAGGTCTGATGAGGTCTTTCTAATAATCTCACCAAAAGAGAGGCAAATAGCACTTGTGCAATGACACTATGGTCTACTTGCAAAACAAACAGAAACCAGAGCTCATGCCAGTCATTCTGTAAGACTCTGAAACAGGATCCATTAGAGCTTGCTATCAAACAGTATTTCACATTTAAGCTTTGAAGCTTACCTTTGTGTGTTTATGTAGAAGTTTACTTGATCAAAAGATGGAATATGAAAAGGTGTTTTTTCAAGGCAGGTGAAAACTGCAAGAAGGATAATTCTTCTTGTTCTTCAAGTTGAGAGCAAAGGGTTTATTAGCTTTTTGTTAAACACATTACAAAGCTAATGTTTCCTCTCATGGTACCTACATTTTAGTTATGATTCAATTTCCTCTTTAAAGAGTGCAGGCAGGACATTGTAAAGCCACAGCCTGACATGTGTTTTATGTGGCTAGGGGCATGTGCCCTGCTGAGTCAAGGCAGGAAGACTGAAGCAACTCTGCCATTTAGATTGCACTCTCAGTCTGTCACAACATCCCACTGGTTGGAAACTGGTAGCTGTGGGTGGAATTTAAGATCAGTCAGGGAATCTAAATTGAGATTATAGGTGGGCTCTCCAAAATGTCAATCACTCTAAAGTTTCTTGGGGAGTAAATTTGTAACAAACCAACATAACCAACTTTTTGTGAGTTCAATATGTGGTTGTTTGTTAAATAGATTACTTCAGATCTTACCAGATTGTGATAAAGCATGTATTGTAAAGATATTATTCAGAAGATATGCTGACTGAATTATTGTATACAGTTTCACTGACTCATGGTTAGGTTGATATGCACAATGTAAAATACATTTTGATGTAATACAAAGCACACTTACTTTGAGATAATCTGGAGATTAATTTTAAACCTAATGGTTCAACTAGTAAAAAAACGCACAAGGCTTTATCTGAAATACATTTAGACAGTGAGAAATCTTTTGTGCTAAATATTCGACCTTAAATTCTTAATGAAAACTAATGTGAGCAACTTCAAAGTGCAGAAGGCTAAATGCTTCATACTGATGATTTATCACTACAAAGGTAAGTAATTTTAATGATTATTATTTTCAAAGAGTTACAGGTGTTTGTCATGTATGGATTATAAATCATGGGCTCCTGTAAATTTATTTGAATAACTGAGAGACATAAAGTGGCCAAAATTTTGTGGTGATTCTGAAACCCTTTGTGAGAGTTTTGTGAAATTTTCTCTCATTTTTTTGTGTATTTACTTGTCTGTCTGTCTTGATTTAACATCTTTTTGTTGTTTGTTTTCACTTCCTGTGCATTTTGTTACTACTTTTATGTGCAGACATATTTCTGAAACATTTTAACTGATTTAATTTCATGTCCTCGTTTCAGTAAATATAAACGTATACCCAGTGACCCCATCCAGTAAAGCTTGCAGCACTATGAACACACTGTGTCAAAGTATTAATCAATCAAATACAAACTACCATGATGTAATTGTTTCATTTACCAACTTTTATTATGCAAAGCCTTTCGTCACCGGCAAAACAGTTGTCATTGGTCGACGACAGCTGTCAATCAAAAAGGAATGTGCGTCATTTCCGTTGTCAGGTGGCGCTGTCGCTGTGGAAAGATGCGATCAGCGAGGAGCGGAGGCTTTTCCTTAATTGCTCATTTCTGTAACAGAGGCTAGGCAACCTGAAACCAAACCTCTGTGGTCTCCTGTTGAAGCGAGAAGCTCCACATATACACCCCAGCGTTGACCTAAGATATGTCTATGTTTTGAGGAGACAGCGCAGATCATACCCGGCGGTTTTGGCTCGAGGTAAGCGAGGTGGTGACAACGTTGCTATCGAGCTTTCTGGCACTGTTAGCCAGCTGTAATGTTACCTACTTTGTTTAAATGGCCTCTCGGCTTCCCTACAGAACCCACTTTTGTTATCTACGTCGTTCAGTTGCAACCATATATAAACGTATCTGATACAAGAGCGGAAATGTTTAAGTGGACGTAATCTTGCTAACAGCTGCTTTGTCCAGTTTGCACCGAAAGCCTAACTCCTTGTATTGTGTGTCTCTTTGTGTGGCTTGTTAGCCCAAAGATATAGTAACGTATGCAGCAGGGGAATTCAGTTAGCTACGTACTAAGTTTATAATATTACATTATGTCACAATACGTAGCTGTCGAATCTAAAATAAGATAAATAGTGTTTTTTTGTCAAGGACTTCAGGCAGACGTTTACTAAGCCGGTGCGGAGTGTGCTGTTTGCTGTTTAAGGGGCGAGTGAGGCAGCTTTTGTTGATGGTAATTTAAATGGTGCTGACTTTTGCTCAGTTTATTGCCTGGTACTGTTCAAGTTGCAAGGCATAGCGCAGGCATTCGCCTGAACTGCTCGCTGCCAAAAATCCAACTGTCCTAACCTTGTGGACGTAAAATGGCTCCAATGAAAGGTTGCACTTATAATCTTTTTTTGTCAGGTGCTTTTCCCTCGTTTATTCCGTTTTGATCCCCCCCCCACCCACCCCTTATCCCGTGACCTTGTGTCCATAACATGGTCGGTTTGGTGAAGGACACCGGTGTTGCACAAACCTGGGATCCAAAGCGGTGTTAAAGTGGAGAGAAGTGAGAGCTGACATATGCCAAAGCATTCAAGCAGAAATATTCAAAGTCGTCTGGCCGTCGAGTTTCCTTCTGTCCTATCTGTGTTTGATCTACTTGTGTAGTCATTTGTGTGTATCATCTCGTCTCTTTTTTTGGACATCCTCTTATGTTTACAACCACTTCAAAGTGTTATTACCATTCTTGCTACCTTGATCGTGCAGCGGGCTGCTCCTGCACAGCCAGACAAGTGGCACAAAGTCTGGGTGGGTGGATCTTGAGACACCTACGTGGTTGTTTTGTTCTGATACTATTTAAGAAAGCCCACATTTCTCGTGGGCACTTGGCAGTGTGTCTCTCCTCCTTTTGTGTGATATGATTCAGAGGCTGTATCTGTTCTTGTCCTCCCTCTGGTACAGTCAGAGGCAGAGGCGGTCTTGCCTGCCAGGTCGCTGGCTGTGCAGAGAAGCACAGCCGTGTCAGAGAAGGATAGCTGTGTGCTGTCATCATTCTGATGTCATTTAGGTCAGTGTGCAGTGGCTGGTTACATTGACCTTTGCTTTTAGGTTGTGTCTGGGTTAGGATTCACAACACTCAAACTGGTTTTTAGTTGGTAGATGGATAGCTTTAGGTGCATTAATTGTTTGCAATGTTTTCTGTAAATGACTCAGTTAAGTTCGGCAACTCCATGTCGCTTACAATTTGTTATTTAAAGGGACTCTGTGCTTTATTTTGAGCCTCATAAATTGAAATACCTGCATCCTGTAAAGTTAGATGCCGTCTTACTATCGGCAGCATGACTTGGTGTCACCCCTGCTTGCGCCATAAATTCTGTCAGAAAAGCTCAGCTCATCAGACTCGGTGTGGGCGATGACTGGTGAAGATGGAGACAGATGGGCGAGAGACATGATGACGATGATGACACTGTCTGCTGTCTGGGATCAGAAAAAGCCTCATGGAAGTGAGATTTCATACCAGCCCTTAGTGACTGCCAACTGTCCTGGCTCCTCGATGCCCAAAACTGCCAACTGGCAAGTTTTTGCTGAATTGGTTTTGAAACGGGAAGATGGCCTAATTAGTTTGAAATGTTTCAGTTGTTCTACTTACTGAATGGATTCTATTTTTGATGCTCTGTGTATTTGTAACCTTACCAATTGCTTACTTTGCAAGTTAAATGTCTCTCTATTATATATGTCTGAATAAATACAAAACTATAGTACACTACTATCTTTGCAAGCAGTATGCCCGTTGGAATTTTCTGCTTCTATCATAACTTGGGGAGTACCCTTCATCTAGAGTCTTCCCATCTGTATTTCTGCCCTACAAAAACGTGGGACAACAGCAGTGTGACTCAGTCCTCTTGGTTCAGGGCACTACTTCCCCATTTCGAGAAACAGATGGAGTTTCATTGCATAGGAACGCACTATGTGTACACAAAGCATACCTTTAACTCAGATTTCTGGGAGATGGATCAGATCGGCTCTGTTGGCTGAAGCAGTTTGTAAAATGACGTGTCCCACTCTGTCACTGGCTATTCTGGCATATGACTCTACTTCCTTATCATAGTACAAGGGCTTGGTATTTTCACCTTTCAGCCTTGTTGGAACGTGTATGTCTTTCAGAGGAAGGTCTGCATAGATAAAATGGCAGTACTGATTCAGAGATGAAGCATGCAGATTAAGAGCACGAGGCTTTTCTGAGCCCTTGTACACTGCTGCAGGAAAAGCAAAAGCTTAGAGGATCAAATTAAAATGCTGCTGTTTTAAAGAATCCCGTGCCGGGCATTTGCATGCAAGTGCTTTCAATTTTAAACGGTAGATTGTGGAGCATTCTCTTTGCCTGGTGGGGAGATTGAATCTGAGGTGCTGGCCTTGACGCCAGCAGCCATTATTCTAAATGGATCTGTAATGGCCTCCCATTCACACTGAGGTGTGTAAATTTGAGGGGAGGGATATTTAAAATGGGTTGGGTGGAGCTGCCCTGACGATTACCTCCTTCACCTCTGTTCACTAATCATTTTGTTCCCAGCCAGCCTGGGAAATCTACAGAATCTTACACATCCTAGAAAATAGTTGGGTTTTTTATTTGTACTTTAAAAAACAACAACATTCTCAATCTCTATAAATAGCTACCAGTTCCTTTTATTAGTTATAGGGTATGGATGGTTTGCCACAGAATAATACTTTGTGTTTTTACAGTCACGTGTGTGTGCTTTCTCTTAATCTTGCCTATCTTTATCCTGTGGACTAATCAGATTTGTTCCCCCATAGAGCTCCAGTATGTCCAAGCGGCGCTCATCGGAGAGGGGGGCTGGAGAGACGTCAGGCAGGGCCAGCAAGCTACAGTGTCCTGGGATATCCGGCAGTAATGCCAAGAGAGCTGGCCCCTTCGTCCTTGGTATGAAGGCTTCTAGTATTTTCTCAACCAGCATTAGTGTATTATCTCAGAAATTAAAACATGAATTACAACAATCCATCATCATCATCTCTGTTGGTGCAAATAATTTTAGCGTACATTGTAAATGTGTGCATCCTGTGTGTGAGTGTAATTTGGTAAAGGTATTTGTGTGCCTGAGTTGTGGGGCGCCTTTGTGTGCATACTGTAGGCTTACACATGCCTGAGACAAGAATGTGAAGAATTTTGCTGATCCCTATTACTTTGGTCAGTAACCCTCTCACTATGCTGGAACAAGGATGTTTCCTGTCTCTGGAAGGTGGATTTCTCTGCAATGCTCTGAATTGTAGTCTTCTCTGCCATATAGCTCCTTCACTATCTTCAGCAGTTGGTGCCAAGGAAAACATTACACTTTTGGTGTTAATGGGGACTTAGCATGGAGCCCTTAATGAGTGGCAGGGAAAACACACACTCCAGAATGCAGGCTGCCTTTTGGTCATGCAGCTGTTCTTTCTCTTATGCTTACAGGGCCTCGCCTGGGCAACTCACCAGTGCCGAGCATAGTGCAGTGTTTGGCAAGAAAAGATGGCACAGATGACTTCTATCAGCTAAAAGTAAGTCTGTCAATGTTCGCACGTTTCTGTATGTTAGCTGTCTTTGACCAGAATTATTTAAACTTTCGATGTTCCTTTGGTGTAGATTTTATTGCCCCTCTTTGGGTCTGACACAAACAAAACTTGAGCCAGGCATGTTTACTGGGGTTATCCAATGCCTTTAAAAGAACACAGGGGTCTGTAAAGCCATAGAAGGAAAGAAAGGAAGAGAGGGAGGTAGGGCCCCACCTGGAATGTCAACTTTTAACCCCAATGATCATGTTTAGAGTCGGCTTTAGGCCCTGCGCCCATATCCATGACAACCGTGCCTCTGCCTGGTGCCTTCACTTTGGGATGTGGACCACTGGTACAAAGCTGTCAATTACGTATATTTTTATTTGACTTCTGTTAAGATGTGACTGAAGTGTGTATACCAAGGCGTACAAATGTTCAATGTTACAACAAGTCATTTTCTCTTATTTTTTGCTGTTATGGTCCTTTTTGCGTTCTTGTCATTATACCTAATATTTGCTTTTTTTGTATGTTTTTTTGGCAGATCCTGACACTTGAAGAACGAGGGAACTCTGCTGGGGAAACTCAAGAGGAGAGGCAGGGGAAGATGCTGCTGCACACAGAATACTCTCTTCTGTCACTGCTACACCACCAGGATGGGGTGGTCCACCATCATGGCCTCTTCCAGGTAGAGATCCAAACTTATTTTGGCCTTTGAGTTAAATTCTGAGAGCAGGTTTACAACATCCATTTTTTTTAGAAAATATGTAACATTGCGAGAAAATAGGTGCATTCTGCTCTGTATTGAGGAGAGTCAGTGTGTTTTTAACTCTTGAGCGGTTTCTTTTACTTTCTTTCAAATTTTTTGTTTCATTAATTGAGTTAGTATCTCTCTGTAGTATCAGTGCCAGGTTTGTCAGTTGGCCAGCTGGCTCTTGATTTTATTTTTCTTTCGCTATTGAGCTTGTTTCAGGAAGTACCATTAAAAGGTATAATTAATCCACAGTCTCTCATCACTCCCACTTCCATTCACAGTGAACTCCCTCCTCTTCACCTGCCTTCCCATCTGCTCCTCCTCTAACTTTGTTATTGTTCCATTAATCCCTACCCCTCTCACTACTTAGTCCCTCTCCTTGTCTTTTTCATATCCGGCCTGTGTCAGGGCTCTCACAATAGCAACATTAAGTCCTGCACTTTGATTCACTTAGGTCTGCAGTATTGATTGAATTGTTAACGGGTATCTCCTGCGTCGGCGAACCAGTTCACATTATACTTTTATTTTCTGTTGCTTTCAAGAAAATAAAATTTAACTTTTTTATCCAGCAACTGACAAAAAGACCTATGATCTTCTTAAATCTTAGCTTCATAACCTAAATGAAACCAGATTATCTTTATTTTCGTACAAGAATCTATTCTGTTTGATGCATTTGGAGAGGACTGACTTTGTAATTTATACCATCAAAATGGAACCATCCCAGAAGTTGATTCTTAATCTTTTCTTTGTTTTTCTTTTGCAGGATCGAGCCTATGAAATTGTTGAAGACATAGAGGCCAACAAAGTGCGCAAGATGAAGAAGAGGATCTGCCTTGTATTGGACTGCCTCTGTGCTCACGATTTCAGTGACAAGACGGCTGATTTGATAAACTTGCAGCATTACGTTATAAAGGAGAAGCGACTGAGCGAGCGGGAGGCCATCGTCATCTTCTATGATGTGGTGCGCGTGGTGGAGGCCCTCCATAAGGTAAATCAGGGGTGTTATTTATATAAAGGTGATTTCAGTGGAACCATTTGGTGCTTTTCAGATGAAAGCTCATACATGTGTTTTTTTCTCTCAGAGCTGAAAGCTTTTTTACAAGGATATTTTGGTGAACTGCGGGAGAAATTTCTTTGTTTGCTGGTTGCTCATCATTCTGATTAGTCATTGTCCAAACTCGTGTGCCACTCCCAGGAACGAAACAATTCTTGTGATACCAGTGATTCACTTAGAACAGTATGACCTTACTTTCTTTTCTTGCCTTTCCTGCCTGCAGAAAAACATTGTGCACAGAGACCTGAAACTGGGAAACATGGTGCTGAACAAACGGTAAGACAAGCCTCTATCACTCATGTCGATCAGTTCACTAGCAAATAATATCCCCCACTGTGCAAGGTCAGTCATCTTAGCCGGCACAGTAATGTGCAAGGGCTTTGAGTGGCCCCTGTAGCATGTATCTAGTATGTTTCATGCTTTAAACCCAAGCAGAGGTCACATTCTTCAGACTGAGATCGGTCTCAGGAACTCGAGGGCCCGCTCTCTTGTTCTTAAATCTAGGGATGTGTCTGTGTGTTTAGTAACGGTTGCTGATTCATTCGTGGAAATTTGTAAATGAACTCTTGTGGTGCTTGAATATGCCAGTGCTTTGTATAAGCAGTGTAACAACACACATAGGACCGTCTTAAAGGCAGCTCACGTTGAAAGTTGCTGAGCAGTCAACCTCTCCAACTATCTTCCTACAGTTTCTGAAAGATTCATGCACTCAGGAAGTACTGATTTTTACTTGCCATTTTTATTAAGGATATGACCGTTAAAAAATAAAAATAAAAAGTGCTCTCTTTAAAACATTGACACACTGTGAGCTTCGGTATGTCTTTGCTGCTCTTAATTTACACTTTCAGATTGCTGGTTGTTGTTTCCATCCATTTAGCTTTAGTTTCTCCATGTTAGAGGTTGACATTTAAACATCAAATCTGCATTTTTAACTAATATATTGTGAATAGCCACTGCTTTCGCACAATTCTTATTTAGAAACAAATTTGTTTCACAGAAGTGTGGTCTTAATACAACCGTGGGTCACAGCTGTGTTAATAGTTCCCCCATGGTTATTGACACAATGTTTTGTTGTTTTTTTTTTGGTACATGAGACATTTTTGGTATGCCGCATCACTTCAGATTATAAATGTGATGAAACAGGAGAGTTTTTTGGCCAGGGGAGGGGGGTTGGTGGGGAGCGGAGCATACAAGTGGAACACTCCGTCCCAGCTGGAGACAAAGGAGAGGCCTGCTAAAGGCCCCATAGCTCAGAGCTGACTCACACCGCAGGGCAAGTCACACAGACATACTTAGGTACGAGTGCACATACAAACCAGGTTTTACTTGGCCTATAATCAAATGTGTTCTTGTCTTTTACATGTAAATCTTTTTCACTGCTTCTACTAGATGACCTACATCGCGATTGCCACTTTCCGTTCCCCTTTGTTCATTATATTTCCTAATCCACATGTTTCTTTGTCACCCCAGATGTTTGTGAATGCACAGCCAATGTGGCCAGAACAAGGTCAAATTAGAGGCAATAATCCTAAAAACCCCTGTCCTCCTTTGCATCTTAGCCATGCTCTGAGAAATAAAGCAATGGCTTCAAGGAGAACAGCAATTTATGCAAGAATGATGTGATTTCCTCTTGCAAAAGCAGCTGTCTTGAAAGCTGGATGTTAAAGTCAGTGTGCAAATCACTGACAGTGTATGTTTCATTTTTCCTTAATTGATTTGTATCTCCATGGATTCAGATCCATAAATGTGTGTAACAAGATCAGTTGTCTTTCCCAAAGAAGTTTGAAACAAAAAAAGTCCACAACGGAATTATGAATGTGCATAAGTGTATTGTTTTAAAAGTTGATGTTTGACATTCCCCCAGGTTAAAATTAATCAACCTCAGCATAAACGGCATGAAAACACCTTTAACTTGGATCTCATTAAATCCCTATAAATGTTCAGGTCCTCAGTTCTGAGAAATTCACTTTGCTGGTCTCAGTTGACGCTGCCCTGAGTTTAACCCCCTTTCTCGTCAGCTGGTGTATTTTCATCAGAGTGCAGCGGGACGGGAAGAAGAAGTCATTGGGGTTGTTAAGGTCTCTGGTTTCCTGACTTAGCCAGGGGTCACATGACCGGGAAGAAGAGATGGTGTGGTTGCTCCGTTGTCCTCAGGGACCCTTCCCTCACGAGGCAAACATGCAATTTCATTACCCAATCTCCGGTGCAAGAATAGAAGCCCTGGTCGTGATGTGCACAGACAAAAGAGCAGAGCGCTTCATAAAGGAAGCCTTTTATGCTGAGGGTCCTTGAAGCACTGCGCTCGGCTGCTCTGGCCCGTCGCCCTGCAGTTCACAAAGCTGCTGTTTAGTTACAAAGGTAGAAGTAGTCAAATCATGTAAAAAGCTGAGAGTTATAGAGAATGTTTCAAGGAGAGGTTTGAGATTTGAGCATTTGGTTGAAAATTGATTATTTGGCAGACACTTGATTGGGAGCAGTGAATATGAGTGACAAAGCAGGGTGTGAAAGTGAGAGAGAATAGGGGAAGTTATTGACCTTAGGGTTTTTAGAAAGCGGATGTGGGTGAGAAGCGTGATCCAGAAAGGACTCAGGCTGTGGAGGGCAGCTCCTTGTCTGCCTGTTCATGTGCCTTTGGAGTGTTTTTTGGTTTGTGTGTGTGTGTGTTTGTTTGTGCTTGTTCAGTTGTTTGATTGGGTACACATTCCTCATTTTCCGTGCTTTATATACATTGTCACCAGCATTCATTGTACAAGCTTAATCATCATCACAATTATCATAAACCACAGGTTGAGTCATGTTTGTCAAAGTGCAGCTTTTTTCCCTCTCCTGAAAGAGCACGGGCTCTCAGCTTTGGCAAAGTCAGGTTTCAGACTGTCATATCTATGCAAAATAAGCTTTCTTTTTTTGTGTCACGTTGTTTCAAAACCTCAAATAAAAGATAAAAAAAACAAAGATTTATCAGGGTTATCTTGCTCTCACGTGTGGAGCTGAAAGTTGTTCACGGGTTAAAGTTGATCATGCACACTGGCATCTTAATCAAACACTGAACACATGATAAAAATTTTCTAACAGCATTTCTAAACTAGATTATGCACCACTAGTCCACTTTCAAGAGGAAAATAATTCTCACTTAAGATTTTTGCTTCAGTGTGTATTTTTAGGGAAATTATGCAAGCATTATGTGGACATCAACAGATTATTGTCTTAACTCCATAAAATGATCATAACTGGCATGTTGGACTTAAATGGGACTGTTGGAGTTTGAAGACTTATGATAAGAGGTTTGCTTTTTTTCTTCCTGTGTATAAGAGATAATATATATATTTTTTTAAATCAATGAATAGCCATATGCCATCATGTTCCATCAGACTGTTAACACTTCATACTCTGAGCTGTGTTACATTACAAAAACTGAATGAAAATATCAATAGATTCATTCATTATTTGTGGGACTGTATGGTTCAGAACGATAATCAGAGGTAGAAACGATTAAAAATTATTTACCAGCTATGTGTTTTTGTGTGCTGAAAGGACTCACCGCATCACCATAACCAACTTCTGCCTGGGAAAACACCTGGTGAGCGAGGACGACCTGCTCAAAGACCAGAGAGGAAGTCCTGCCTACATCAGCCCCGACGTACTAAGCAGTGAGTGATAAATGTGTTTTCTTGCTTTTTAGGCAGCCAGAAAATTGCTGAAAGGTCCACTCCTGTACCACATTGGTTTTTCACACTTTCTAAAAGACCAATATCAAGAGTCACACTTGATTTTGCTTGCACAGGTGTGAAAACCTGGATCACTGCCTGCTGTAAGCAAGACAAAGTTTGATTGTGTGCTGTTTATCTGCAAGTGAAAGGCCAGAAGAATTGGATTGTTTTGTTTTTGTTTTTTGGGAGGGAGTCCCTGGAGCCCTGTAGGATTCTTTGTATCTCATTGCGTAATATTTAGCAGTCAGGCTTATGTTGATTTTTCCGGTTATTAAGCAACAGGCAGGGTTGTGTCACAATCTCGGAAAAACTAAGAAATAGATTTTTCTTTCCTGTGTAATCATGGTGATGTTGCATTTTCTCATGGATGGCGTCTGCAGAGGAAGCTACTCTTTGTGAAATAGCCTTTGTCGCAGAAAAGCAGAAATCCGTTTCTGTTGGTTCAGCTTGATTGTTGAAGTATGTGCACATATGCATGTCTCACAACAGTAGCACTAATCCACGCGCATGCCTTTCCATTCGAGACCTTAATTGCATCAGTTTAATCAAGGATTTCCTGAGCAACATCCTGGACCGTGAAGCAGATTTAGAGGGATTTCAGACACACATCTTTCCCATCTAACCAGTTGAAAACTGTTGGCAAACCCCCCATGTGTACATAGAAGCATAACGTGACAGGCACACAATTAAAAAGAGCTTCAGTGACTCATGCACTGATGACTCACCAGAGGGGAAACTACTCCCATCTACTCCCATCCCCCGCTTGTGTGTCACAAGCTCTATCATAATTGCCGGGTGCTGTTGCTGCCGCCTCCCTGGCTGCAACAACACAGCTTATGGTAATGCACGGCCACTGTCTTTCACCCTCACTGGCTCCAGTTGATTAATTTTAGATGTACAGCTCATTTAATGTCGCAGATTTCATTACAACAGCACTTCATCCTTTTTTTAAAGTTATATATATATATATATATATAGTTTAATGGGAACTTACTAGATTAGGAGCAATTGCTTGTATTTGTGTTGACTCTGTTTATCATTAGGCCCGGTAACATGACAAGAATTGAACTGATTACTTCATGTAGTCATACAGGGCCCTTTTCTGCTTATGGTTAATTCCATTCATAGTTTTGCTGGAGTATGAAGCCCCTTACCCTTTTATCTCCAGGTCGACCATACCGCGGGAAACCCAGCGACATGTGGGCTCTTGGTGTAGTCCTGTTCACAATGCTTTATGGCCAGTTCCCCTTTTATGACAGCATACCTCAAGAACTCTTCCGCAAGATCAAGGCTGCAGAGTACTCCATCCCAGAGTGAGTACTGAACCTGGAGAAGATTTATTTAAAGTGGTAGAATCACAGAGCTCAACACATCATGCAGTAGTTTCTGTGTTCTTCCAGTGACAAAAAACATGGATTTGATAGCAAACCTTTGGTAAAGTGACAGCAGGTTTCCATCACGTCCTATTTAAACTTACCGCATATCCAGCATTTTTAAATTTGACACGGATATAGTGACACGCAGCCTTTTCATGGACTTGATGGCATTTATTATTTAATCATTTTGCTTTGAAGCATTTGCGGCATGGGTTTGACACATGCTTTATTTCTGTCCTCCCCCCTTATAGGGACGGCCGTGTGTCAGAGAACACAGTGTGCCTCATCCGGAAGCTGCTTGTTTTGGACCCTCAGGAGAGACTGACTGCAGGAGAAGTGCTGGAGTCAATTGGTGCCATCATTGCCTCATGGTAAGTGCACCCCCTGCTGGATTTGAGAGAAACTGCATTGGTGCATGTTTGATCAACTATGTAGATTATATTTGATCTGTTCAGTAGTATAAAAGAGAAATGTGCCTGCAGAAGCTGCTGTTCTGCTTTTGGCCACTAACTGTCTGGCTCAATACTGCTTGTTGTTTACTTGTTCACAGGCAGTCTGTTTCATTAATGAGCGGCCCTCTTCAAGTGGTTCCGGATATTGACGATCAGGTCAATAACTCAGAACATCTTCAAGAGGTGAGGCGTCAGATGAAGGAGAAATAGGGTAGTTTGTAGTTTACGCTGAAGTTACATTTAATTATTTAACACATCAGTGCAAGCACATAGAGCTTAACATCTTTCTTTGCTTAGGCCAAAGGGATTGAGGAGTCGTCGCAGTACGAGTTTGAGAACTACATGCGCCAACAGCTGCTGCTGGCTGAAGAAAAAAACACTATTCATGAAGCCAAAAGCTCCCTCACTGAGCGCCAGTTTGGCAGCATCCCACCAGTGAGGCGTTTGGGCCACGATGCCCAACCTGTCGGCCCACTAGATGCTGCCATCCTAGCCCAACGTTTCCTCCGGAAATAGCCCCCAAAGGACCCACTCCAGCCTGTCTGGTCTCACCCGGAAGTCTAGACAGCTGCAAAGACTAGAAAAGACAAAAGGGGGAGAAGCTCCAAAACTGAACTGGGATGAAGGAGACCCTGCCTTGGCTGGCAATTAGATGCCCCCTAGATGTGGATTCTGGCAAGCTAGGTGGAGTCAGACATAAGTTGGGCAGCAGAACACATAGCCCACTCGGAGCTTCAGCCCCCTCCCCCTTTGTGTGGATTTACTCTGAAATATGGATGGACCTGGAGGATGCTCTGAACCAAAGGTTCCTTGTCCTTAGGTTTCCCACATCTCACTGTGCAACGACCCTGATAGCACAGTCACACATGGCGCTGACACAAGGCTCCGCCTGCAGTGTTGAAGAATCCCACGCTCCTGCTCCTGTCAGACCCCCTTACTGTAGTCCCCCCGTTCTGGTAACTGAGCAATACAGGTCGAGAATTATGTAGCAGTCCCCTCTCTTCATAGTGGTTTATGGTATTGCTTCAAGTTAGATGTCTTCATCACAGATGTCACTTTTGTATACCTCCATTCCACCTCCCTTTTCTCACTCCTTCGTCTTTCTCTGTACCGATCCCCTGTATTGAAAATGATCCTCATCCTGTCCATAACTCTGACTTCAAATCAATCTACCTCTTTGTCCCTCTTCTCTGTTGGTAAACCATACTCACTGTTCTGAGACAAGGGATTGTAACAACCGAGTCTTGATGCCACCAGTGACATAAAGCATTAATGTTTTTTGTCAGAGTGAAGACCTTCGAAACCCATTTGCTGGTTTCTACAAATCTGAATAAGCTTTTTATAATTTGCCTGAATAAGTAGCATTGAATCCCTACAGTCGCATTGAAAACAAGAACTGAATATCAAAGAATGTGCACAAGCATCCTTTGATATTTACCAAATGCATTGTCCCCTGCTTTTGCTCATCCCTGTGGAAATCTATTTTTAGCATCGAGGCAGCTAGTGTGAGATATCTGGAAGTCCCAATGCCAAGAACTGAATGGGTAAAACTGTTGCATTCTACATGCCAAGGCATATTGATGGTAACTCTTCCTCAGTGCCGCTGTCACGATGAAAAGGCACTGTCATGTTTCTGTTGCCAAAAATCCTGTCTTAAATTGACTCTTAGCCAAGGATGCTGGTACTCACAGGCTCATTCAGAATGAAATGCCTTCAAGGTAGCTTCCCTGTTCCTCCTTGTCGATACAGATCATGGGACAAGTGTTTCTCAGTGTGAATGTGAACTGTTGCTCTATACTTCGATACATCTGCAGTATGTATGACTGTGCTCGTGGGGTGTGTGTGTGTGTGTTTAGGCGTGTGTGTGTGTGTGTGTTTGGGCCAGGCGGAATAAGAGTCGGCGGAGCCGTTAAGCCTTTTGACACTCTCTGACCCTTTTAAGCTATCGTCCAGTCGTCATTGTGTTATCTGGCCTGCCTCGTTGGCAGACACTGTGAAAACCAGAGCAGGCTCTGCTAAGTCAGGGCTTGGCTGAATGTTTTATCGGAATGACACAAATGCTTTAAGATTGGAAATGATCACATATCTATTGCCATTCAAGCCCTTTCTCAAGCGCGTCCTGTACATGCTTGTCTTATCTTACCACGCAGAGATGAACTAGTGGCTGATAGTATATACTGTATCATTTAATAGCTAAATGAAAAAAAAACCTACTCTCTGAGTCATAAGTTTAGCTTCTGGGTTTGCTCTATATTTTTGATGCATTCTTCTTTCATTCACAGTGAATTTTTAAACCATGGCAATGCTATTAACCAGTGACTGTTAGGCATTTGTACAATGCATCCTGCCTTCGCATATTGGTACCTGCTTTTGACTCTTGACTTCCTATTTATATTCTGATTGCATGATCTTAGCCTTTGGAATTTCTTAAAAAATGTCTTCTTGTTTTTTTTTGTTTTTTTTCTTGTAATTTCATGGTGATTTATTTATTCACTTATGTAGACATTTTCTTCCGAACCCCTTGGGCTTGTATCACAGACACTGATTGTAGACGGTGAGAAAGTTACCTTAAAACAGTCTGGGACTCATGCCGGTGAAACAGGACCCACTTCTCTTTGCTCTCTCAGCTTTAAAAAGTGTCGTTCACGCAAACAGTGGTTGTACTTAAGCCACCCCCCCACCCCCATCTTTTTAAGACACATCCATGGAAAAAGTAGCATTTGTTTTCCTTCTTCGGATTTCTAAGTTCATTTCTTGCCATTTTGCCACCGTTTGTGGCAAATTAAGCTACACTAATACTGAGACTGACTTTTGCATAGTTTTATTTGTCAAGAAAACAAAATGATTCTCATGGTAACTTGATTTATGGGAGGGGGTTTTGCAGTGTATGTTTTTTATATATATTTCTGCCATCCCCCCCAGCTCGCCACACAAGGCTGTACTCTGGTCAGTATGTAAATAATGTACCATCATGACTGCGCCAGTCATGGTGTCTGTACAGTAGTTCTACGCAGTGACTTATCAACTCTTGTTTCAACACAACAATTGACGCGTCCTTCAACCTCAACATCTGGAGGCTAAAATAAAACGTAAAGAGAGCTGTTGGCTTTCTCCCACCTCAATGTGAACTCCATGGGTATACAGCAGTATTGTAGAAGTATAGGTTGCGCACCAAAAAAGGGCAGTGTTTAAAGCCATCTACACGGAACACAAATGGAAATAGATGTAATCTGTGCCCTCCATCAAAAATAAGTTTCACTCTCAAGCTAATGGATTGTACCACGTTAGATGTTTGTTTTTACAGAGTTATTGAGATAGTCTACGTTGTGGACTCAAAAGCATGGAAATAGTTTGACGTTTAACTCTAGAAAACTGTTGCATGATTTTGGACTTACAAGGTGTGCCACAGCAACTCATATCTTATGATATTTCACCCATTCGAGTCCCCCAAAAAGACATTAATCCGAAGTTAAACAGAATGAGATATATATATATATAGTCAAATGTTTGGACACACACATTCATTCTAAATGTATGGAAAAGTGTGTCTAAACATTTGACTGGTGCTAGATCTAATTTTTTTTTTGTTGTCTTTCTTATTTTCACCTCAGTTCTAAAGTAGTTAGCATACATTCAATATGTTGCTGACCACTCCAACTGGAAACAGGATGTGAAATGTTGTTTAAACCCAATGGGATGATGTGTTGTAAGCTGCTTGGTTGGACATGGGCATCTAGATACAGAAAAAACTGATTAATTGTACAGATGAAAAAACTCGTTTGTATAAAAAAAACATATTTTTCTACTTCATCAGATCTCTACATGCATGTCAGCAATAAACTTTGATATGGAAATATTGAACTTTGTCTTGTCCTGAATTAATGTTTGCTCATTCTCACTGTGCAGGTTTGCAATTTTTTTTAGAAAAATACATCTACCATTTAATGGCATATTGTCATTATTTCTGTATTTGGCAGAGGATATACATTTAGGCCATTTGGGGGTCAGCGTGTTGCCAAAGGAAACATTGGCCACAAGGTGGAGTAGTTTCTTAAAAAAAAGAAAAGAAATGCAGTTTAAGGCAGACTCTTAAGACATAATGCTGAATGCTTTTCTTTATTGGCTTCTGCATAGCATGGACTTTGCAGTATAGAGGAAGTGGATACGCTGTACCTGTGTTTACATATCGGGCATGAACCGAATAATGACTCTTTGTGTGTCTGTGCTGCCCGACTTTTCTGGTGGGTCGAATTAGGGGGCAGACGAGTTCAAACAGGAAGCCTCCTGCTGACGCCCACAGCACTGCTACTCTGAGGGCTTTTTTCTGCTGGTCCCCCTCCCCACCTCAGATCTGTGAGTGCAAGCGGACCTCCTCGTTTTTATCCCAATTCGTTCTAATTGTGCAATTAGAAAACATGATTTACAGGCCATGTGATCTATGAAAGGTAACCCCATCACGATCAGAGCTGAATCAGATATGACAAGAGTCCCCCTTTTTTTTTTTTTTTTTTTGCTGACATGATCATAGACTCGGGCAAAAATTTCAAACTTTCACTCCTCTTGTGGCTTGGTTTGAGCACCCATCTCTTAGCATGTGAAGCTGGAGCCCATAAATCTCAGGGGTCAAAGTTCTACAGATGCTTTGTCCTCATAGATTATAACCAGCTGGCCTTGAGGAGGTCCTTCTTGGCTTCATTTGCGTCTCAAATAAACAAATGATCAGATTGTGTAATGCGCTTGCAAAACTCTTGCTTAAACGCCTTAGAGATCATTACATGTTTAGTTTCATGTGGAAAGGGCGGAATTTTAACATTTTATCATTACTTTACGAGTAGTTGCTTATTTAATTCTTAAAAGCCTTTTAGAAATAACTGAGAAGGAGCAGGAGACAAAAAATGGTGGTTGCTGAGGAGTGTGAATTTGTCTCGAGCTGTGTCAGCCATGAGGCTTTATGGCGTCACCTGTTAAGACACTTACACCGTTCACACAAAACCAGACATCTGCTGTGTTTCAGGTACGGAGTAGCTGCAGAAAATACAATAAACTTTTCTCCTCAAAGGGTTCCACATAAGACACTTGGCCGGTGGAGGCTTGCACGTTTGCTCCTACAACTTCATAACATTCTTACCTGGCTCAGCACCTAGAAGGATATCCGACTATTTTTACAGTCTCAGTAAAGCGCTGGTTGAAGATATAGCAACATGAATGAAAATCCAAAATAATCATCCATGTTCTAAGTTATGTTTTTGGATCGACATCCCCACCCACAAAACTGAGCTCTCTAAAAGTAATGTCCCATATGACTAAACAAAGTGCTGAGCCAGCATTGGCATCTATTTCTAGTCAATACCTTGAAGGCTCTTAAGGAGTAGAGATAATGAGATTATCAGCATTTTAGTTTTTTATTAAAAGACATTCTGTTGGCAAGCTGTCATGGCCCCGAAACGGGCCCCAAAACAGAACATACAGCCCCAACATAAGGAGCAAAGAGGGAGAACATCTGTGAAAGCTTGCTGCTGAATTATTTTACTTTTTTCCTCTTTCAGTCATAAAATAAGTGATAAAACAGATCTGAAAAAGTATTTACATTACTGTTAACCACAGTGAATGGCTTCACTGGCCATGAAAAGAGTCTGTTGAGGCTTCTTTTTATATTACTTTTCAAGCTTACATTTACAATTAGATACTTTGAAACTAGCACTCATGCTGTATTCCAGTAGGGAGGGTCTATTCCAGTAAAATTCATTAACAACCACAAAGCAAATGAAGGAACACCATCCTCATTTTCTTCATAAATGTAAGAAAACAACATCATTTGGTCTCTTACATGGCGCTGTGAGACTTGTGGCAACGGGAGGAGGCTTTATTGTGGGGACCTACTCAGGGCAGAGCCATGTGATGAAAGAGCAGGCCATGTGACGAAGATGAAAAGTCAATTTTCCGAGTCTCGCAGCTCGTACATGTGAGATCTTTTCAATGAAGGAACCATCCAAAGCGAACCTGTCTTACTGCCTTTTTCAGTGGGCAAAAAGAAAATAAGATAAATAAAACTTATCTCAGTAGTTTGCCTGAAAAGTGAGCACAAAGATATCAAATCCACCGTCAACACAAATGCAGACTTATTTCCCCGCTAAGGTTTGGAGCCTCTGTGGCAACTTAACAGCGCTGTTTTTACTAGTCTTATCTTTCACTGATAAGCAACCAGAAACTTTTCTTCTTAACCAAAAACATTCTAGATAGGAGAATGCCAAAATGATGACTAATGTTGAAAAAGAAGAGCAGCTAAAGAGGTGAAATAGTCTTGTAGACTTTGGTACAGTCTTTCTATAATCCATTTAAATGTACATGAGCATTGACTTTTCTGACATATTTCATGTGTTTCCTGCCATAGCATACATTAAGCACCCAGGAAGGGTTCTTGTTTATCCATCCATTTTCTGAACTATCCATCCATCCATTTTCTGAACCATCCATCTATCAATTTGAAATGTCCAATCAACCTAACATGCAGGTTTTTGGACTGTGGGAGGAAGCCGGAGAACCCGGAGAGAACCCACTCAGACATATGCATACTCCACACAGAAATGTCCTGGTTCCCCCTGCTTCTTGAACCCAGAACCCTCTTGCTGGAAGTGATGATGCTAACTACCGCACCAGAATTTGGAGCACAATTAATTACTGCAGTGACTCTTTGGTACTTTGGGGTTAATACACAAAATTAGCATTCAGAACTAGGATTAAATTGAACAAATACCGGTTCGGATACATTTTTATCTTACAGGAAAATAAATCAGCGCCACCCTTAAAAAGCTGTTCTGTTGTGAAATGATATCATGAAATGATTTAATTTAGTTTTATCAGATCATATTATGTTAACTAAACAGCTAAATTAAATCAAGACTATTCTGCATTTGGCATCAAAGCCCACCAATTAAAATATACCCTGGGTTAAAATCCTACCAGTTGGATTTAATTAGCTTTATGCTGACCCAGAGCTAACCCTTTTTTAGTCATAATCATATGAAATTCATTGGCTCGCATGTGGCTAAAAGATTGTTTACATCTGTTCCCTTTCTCTCTGTGACCTTGTTTTGCTCTGTCTGCTTCTTTTCTTTTGTAGGACGACATCTTGGGACATTCATGTGTTTTTTCATTAGTCCTTAGTGCGCTTGCATTTGACAAGATGCAGGCGGGCCACAGCCGGTCGTTGCATATTTTGCCTGCAGATGGTTTTATTCAGTAGTGAGAAATAGCTTCCAGTCAATCTCACCAAAATGATGCTGAGAGGACCCAGGCTCGACTCACTTGTTATTGTTTTGGTCACACTTTGTCATGTGAAAAGCTATTCCTCAAACAAACCCCTCTAGATTTTTCCTGAAACCCTCCTCTCTTCGACCCATCCATCAGGAGATGAGTGAGACATCCAACATGGTGCAGGAGTGAGTGTGTCTTTTTCAAACTGCTAAACTGCTAAACAGCTAACTCTGGACATCTGGTCCTACGGGGAGGAGGGTGACCCTGTCAATGAAAATCCTTGTCCGCTCCCCTCATCGACACCATGAGATTGGCTGCCATGAGGTGAACAAGGAGGCGTTATGAATGTGTCATGAATGAGAGCGTGTGTGTTTCTGCTGATCTTTAACATTCATTTAGAGTCATGAGTGTGCAGGTTGAAGCAGCTACTACGATTTGAATGGATAGTTTTCGTCTATTTTGCTTGAGAGTAGCGTTCGGAATAAGTTTGACGGGGAATTATGGCTGGACACACTAGAATTTGTTGTTACACTAATGCTTGGGTTAGTGAAAGGCTGATGGGCCGTCATGATGCTAAGTATTGTTTAAACACAAATCTTCCCTACCCATCGAATGGAACCAGGGATTAAGCGGGATTACAATTACATCATTCATCTGATTTACTGAGCTACAGGTTTACATTTGTGTCATATCAGTGAGGAAAAAGCAGTAGCGATTTTTCAATTCTAGGTGATGACAAAAAGGCTCCTTCAACCTTATTCCAACATGAGCTGTTGTTTATGTCAACAGATGGAACTTATTTGCCAATCAG